TTGATTATAATTTGGTACAATTTTCTAAATTCTACTATGTTGCCTTGAAGGCTTTGGTTGGTTTCAAAGTAGCTTTTAATCACCAAAGTAGGCCCATATTCCCCAGGCCTAGAGTGACAGAATCAGACTTTCTCTTTGAAAGAGAAATGTTTGTTCCCTAAAGAATGTGTCCTCAAGGGGCACCTGGGTGGCTCAGAGGGTTAAGCCTCTGCCTTCGGCTCGGGTCGTGATCTCAGGGTCCTGGGATCGAGCCCCGCGTCGGGCTCTCTGCTCAGCGGGGAGCCTGCTTCTCCCTCTCTCTCTCTGCCTGCCTCTCTGCCTACTTGTGATCTATCTCTGTCAAATAAAAAAAAAAAAAAAAAAAAGAATGTGTCCTCAATAGGCACAGCGTACAGTCCAGCAAGCCTACCTGACACAAAGCAGGGGTGGGGAGGGCCGGCGGGGGGGTCTTACCCATCATCAAAATAGGTCAAGGAGCATGACAGGAAATGCTGCTAACGACTCCCAGCTGCTACTGGGAGGGAAGTATCAGAAGAAATGGCGATGTTGTTTCAGAAAGCCCGTTCTGTTTACAAAAGTAGATGGTCATGGGCCTGGGGAAACAAGGATTAGGTACAACTTTTCCAAAAGGCAGGGAGAGGCCTCACTCTGTCTGACCCTCTCATGGCCCTTCCTCACTTCTAGACAACTGAAGAGTACAACAGGCAGCCCTTATGGCCTCTTGATTCCAGAGACATTCCCACATCTAACCCACCTGCAAGTACAGCGACCCCACCAAGCCCACCTGGCTAAGAGCAGAGGCAGGATGCTATGCTCAGCCTGGCCTCTCATCTCTCTAGACAGGAGCTATGGCACTATCTGCAAGGCTGGAAATCCAAGCTGCCTCAGGACTTACTCGTTCCATGGTGACCTCCTTTCTTTAGAAAGCTGGTTTCAACACAGAAAATGTACATGTGGTTGCACAGTGTGTTAGCAAAGTGTGTCAGCGGGACTGAGCTGGCCCAGACATAGGAACTGAGCCACAATGTTACAATGCCTTGTTTGCATCCAGCCACCCCACCACAGCCAACACCAAATACCTTTGGGTCATCAGCCTCAGGTTTTTCAGTCTCTGAATCGTCATCTTCCTACAAGACAAAGAATTTAGAGGATTAAGCTTAAAGGAGCGGGCCTGAGGGTTCTCACATGCATAACTAGGGGCTGGAGCCATCCCACCAAGAACCCCTCCCCTGCCCTATGACCCAGAACTAGAGGAAGAGAAGGGGAAAAGGAGATGTTCTGGGGGTGGGGTGGAGAAAAGAACATCAGTAGCTCAAAGTCGTGACTCCAGCAGTGCCATAGTCTAGAGTGATGAAAATGCCTGAGATTAAAAATCACATATATAAAAATGAAAAAGGTTGCAATGTGTCAGAAAAGAATAAGACCAGGTCCCACAGGGTAAAACAGACACAGTGTTTCTAATGAAATATACTTATTAAAACCAGGAACACGAGAACCTTTTTTTCCTTCTTTGCCTTTCATATACACAAGAACATTAGGCCCAGACCTACCATGACATGGTTCACAGTCAGAGTGCCATGACCCCCACAACCACACCCCAGCCCAGGAACAGTCACAGTTACATGAACAGTAGGAGAGCAGGTGTCAAATGACCAGGGCAAGTGACCCAGGGAAGGGCTACAGACAAACACCTGGCCTTTCCTGGGTCCCAGGTGAGCAGACTCTGCTTCCATCCAAGCACTCACAGAAGTGCCACTGACCTGTTCTATCCAGTCTTGCTCCTGATCCAAACAGCCAGCCTGACACAAATCATCATGTGAACAAGGCATTCTCTAAAGTGTGCACTACAGCCTCACATGGGCTAGCCCACCATTCCACGGAAGACTACTGAAGGTCAAAGATCAGCTACCCTACTACGTAGCTATATCCATGTCTGTTCCCAGAACACCCCAATGCACAAGAGCCTTTAACTTAACACCCAGGGGAAAAAAAATTAAGTTTCACTTGAAATTGCTTTTTTCAATCGAGCTACACTTTAACCCAAACACCAAGTAGTGCCCCAGATGTTGATATAAACATCACCTGTGAGATTCGAACAAATTATACGGATAGCTTCGAGACTTAATTGTCCTGCCAGGTGCCAGTGAGCCCAAAGGGTTAAATGCAATCTCCATGATTTCCTTAAGATGAGATCAATCGTGCCAAATAATCAGAGATGTAGCTCGGCCAAATACAATCACATTTTAGAATGTCTGTATCGGGATTTGATGAGAGGATTTTACTAGAATGATGTAAAGCTTAAATATGATGAAAATTCTAAGCAAAGCAATGCGGAACACCACTTCGGAAACATTATCATGCACACTTACTAAGAGAACAGTTATGGTGTTAAGCCAGTATGGGTGCACTTAAGAAAACAATCTGCAAAACTTTTCTAAACAATTTTAGTCAATTCTTAATTATCAGCATTAACGGTGGAGCTACGGACATGAAAATATCTACCAAAAGAGCATCAAATACAAAATGCTTTTTTGTTTTACTTAAAACGTCTTTTGACACTAATATTTAAATATCAATACACAAGAAAACTTTCAAACAAATAGTAAAGTACATTAAGTATTTTGGTTAAAGGTGTTGCTGAATAACCAGATTCTATAACCAGATTTCACTTTGTATGTTTTTGTGCTAAGCATCAGCTTGAATCCTTGCTTTCTCTCCAAGCTGTTATAAACTCTGGCTCCTAAGACTCAGGCGATAATGTATCCAAAGGCTTTCTGTTTAATTAAGGCACAACTTCTCTTTTCCTTGTTGCCAGGACATACTAAATATCTGGGAAGATTTGTACTCAAGAACGGCAGGCACTTTTATCAAAAGTGCAAGTAAAATATCAAAAAAGAAGTTAAGAAGGATCAAACCACAAATAAAAAACTATTAAATAATTTCCCTTCCTAATCTCACTAAAAAGCTGAAAAATTTGAGTAAGTTCCAACCAAGATTAAAAATAGTACAGAGTCGACTGCAGATATAAATGATACACCAGTTAGGATGAATGCATTGGTGTAAGTGGAATAAACTGTCTAAACCGGGAAAACCCATATGAAACACTCATTGATATCTCGCTGAAATGAAATAGTCCATTATCTCTTCCCCCCAATTTCAAATCAAAAGTTAATACAAAATGGTCCAGATGAAAATAAGTTTTGTTTTCAAAACAGAACTACTGATATCCAACCCAGTTTCCTCAACTGAAACCAAACAAAAGGCAGGGGAACAGAAGGGAATGACGTTAGCCATGGAATGGAACACTGTCAGTACAGTTCGAAGGTTTCTGCCAAATGAAATGGTGCTTTGAGCAACTCTGGATTTGGGAACAGATTTACTTACCGACTGTTTGCTGTTCTCATCCTCTTCTTCTTCATAGCCATCTTCATCACCTCCGAGGCGAGAGAAGTCATCCTCTCCATAGGCTTCTGATACTAATCCACCTTTCTCCTCTGAAACAGAGGAAAAAAGAAAAACGAATGAAGGCACACAAAAATGGAAGACAATATTTTGAGCGGCCAGAACCAGCCCCGAAGATCAGAGGGGTGCCTAAATCTTGTGTAAGTAACTATAGGTCCAGAATCTGCCTTTGGAAAGAACACAATTTAGTGGATAAAATCATTAAAAGAACATGGAAGAAAACCAAATGCCAAATTCTTGCTTTCATGCTTCCTATCCACCTAGTATGCCAGTTGAAGCCTTCTCTTTTCTGAGCTGCTATTGTTGCAGGTTGTTTGAAAACCTCCTTTGATATGGGTATCTCTACCTCGTACCAGAAGCACCAGAACTTATCTTCTCATACAAAACAAGGACTCCGTTGTCCTCATTTTTGTGTGTCCTCCCTATGAACAGGAGCTTTAACTGGGACCCTCAAAGGGGCTACCAATCATACCTCCTTGAGAAACAAAATCATCTTCTACCTTTAAATCAAAACAACATAACAACAAAAAATATAAAATGATACAAATTACTGGGAAACCACCAGAGAACTTCCCAACTGGAAGATACCACAAAAAACTGAGAGAAGCTAACCTCCAAAGGAGGAAAGGAAGGCCCAGATATGACAGGTAACTTGCTGCCTTATTATCCCAAAGCAATCTGTTCTCATTTCCTAACATTGAGTAAGGCAACAAAATCACTGATGGGCTTTAACAGCTCACAAAGTAAGGGAATCACTGAGAAGCATTAGAAAGCTCACAAAACGCCCAGATCCTACCCCAAATCTACGAATTACTCCCTCATCAGCGAGATCAGACATGCATATCTTTAAAGGCTCCAAGATGCGTCTAGGGCACATTCCTAAAGCGAAGTTATAAATTTAACAAGACACAACCTTTTTCAACTTCCACGTACGTTCTACTCATCGCTCTCCCCAATTGCACAGTGAACCCGGAGGGAATAGGTAGCTTTGGATCCTCTCCATCCACCCCTCTGTCCTACGCTGCCCTGCACGGGGCCTTTCAAAAGTTTCGGCAGAATAATCGAATCAACGGAAGGAGATGTCCCGTTTTTATTCCAGAGCGTCTACTCTGTCCCAACCAGAGCCTCGATCGCGCTTCGAGGCTCGCGGACCCGACACTCGGGGCACAATGACCATCTCTTTCCCTCCCGCTCTGCTAGGTGAGCAGCATTCCGAGCAGACACCAGATTCTCCCCTTCCTGTTCCCTCCTCGGGCCTCACCAGGCGCGCCGCCCGCCGTTTCGACCCCAGCCTCGCCGTCGGACTCGGGCTCTGAATCTTCCGCGTAAACTGCCAGAGACGACAGAACATTCTTCTTCCCCGCCATCTTACTCCCACAATCCCAGAGTGCTTCACTTCCACGAGTCAAAATCGCCGACTTCCGTACGGAAAGGCGACTTTTTCCTATCCCAGGAGAACCCGCGCCGGTTCCCCTCCAGGAACCAATCAAAAGGGCAGTTTCTGCGCCTGGCCCCGCCCTTTGGACCCGAGCTGCCGAAACGTCATCACCGCGCGACAGGTATAAAGTTGAGTGGGTTTTCCCTGACACAATTCCCAGCCATTTGGCTCCTCAGAATTTGGGGTGGCTTATGGGGGTCTTCGAGTAGTTCCCGACCGGCGGGCAGCAGCGGCCCGGCAAGAGTCCTTCGCTCCTGGGTGGCCCGCGCCCAGCTCTGATATCTTGGGGTGAAGCGAGGGAGGCTTCGGCTGGGGAAGGGAGAAAGGAGCGGATCTGTGGGGCTTAGAGGAAGAGGGATGAATTCTCCGGGAGGTCCGAAGAAGGGGTCGGGGCTCTGGGGGAAGAATGGCCGTGAGACCAGCGCTTATAAAAGGAGCGGGAGGTGGATCTTAGAAAAACAATTCCCTCTTCTCCAAATTATTCCAAAGATACAGTTTGAGTTTCTTCTCGTAATCTGATTTCTAGCCTGTGCTGTATCATGGATGGGATATTTCAGTGTTTCTGTTCCCGAGCATGAAAATGGAGATGTTAATTGCCCGGCAATGTGTTGCTTGAGGCTGTTCATCTGGAGCTGTTTTAGCTGGAAATAATATATTGCTTGAGAGTAATAAAGCAAATTTTACTTAGAGAAAGATGAGCAGTATTTTAAAAGCGGAACAGAGGGTTTTCGTTGCCATCATATGATCATCACCTTTACCTTAACTTCTGGCCACGGTCTGTCGCTAAGATGAGCACCCGCCCTTGTTTTGACCCTGAACGTCGAGTCCGGAGCACGTTGAAGAAGGTCTTTGGGTTTGACTCTTTTAAGACACCTTTACAGGAGAGTGCGACCTTGGCCGTAGTGAGAGGTAACATTGCCAAACTACCTGCGTTTACATTTGTGCTGGCTGTACTGTAGCATTGCCTGAGGGTGCCAGTTGGCCACCTTCAAAAAGCCCTCCTTTTCAACCCTTCCTACATTCCCACTCTTGGTCCCTAATTGTTGGAAATCTTGTAGACTTGTCACTTAAAACTTTCAGTTTTATTGGCAGAATCACCCAGCTCTTCTGGTTCTTACATTTCATAGCCAGCATTGGCAATTATCTTTGAAAACAACTCTTAGATTTCAATTCATGTTGGTTTGTGTGTGGGCAGTAGTGGGTGTGGCAGGAATAACCTAATCTGGCCACTGACCTTCCAACCCCCCTTTATTTTAAAAAATAAATAAATAAATAAATAAATAAGATATATTTATTTGTTTATTTGACAGAGTTAGAGAGACAACAGGAGAGGGAACATAAGCAGGGGGAGTGGGAGAGGGAGAAGCAGGCCTCATGCAGGGCTTGATCCCAGGACCCTGAGCTGAAGGCAGATGCTTTACTACTGACCCACCCAAATGCCCCTCTAAGCCCTTTTTTGAAGACTGACCTGGGTCCTAAGTAGGGAAGGAGGGGATAATAATACTGTAAACTTGAGATACATTGGCAAATGGGGGTTGTCAAGAGGAAAGCAACAATGTAATATTAATTACATTATAACACTTATAAACAAAAGATCTCTAAGTGATGTTCCTTCCCTGTCTCCACAGCTGGGCCCACTCATCTAGAAATATTCAACTTTTCATGGCTATTTAATTCCATCATGCATATCCCAACAGACTCAGACTTCTCACCCTCATGGTTGTTATTGCCATTACTGGAAATGGTTTGTTCCCATTTCCAAATCTCTCTGGATCTCTACCCTTTTACACAGGAAGGATGGGAAGGAAATTAGCATTATATTGAGAACTTTCTATGTGCCAGACACTCTGCTAGGTGCATTTCCTATACTCTTATTTTTCAACAGCCTTGATGAAGTAAAAGATAAAAGGCAGGAAGTATTTATTTATTTATTTATTTATTTTCTTTTAAAGATTTATTTATTTATTTGCAAGAGAGAGAGTGTGCTCATGCACAAATGTGGGGAGGGACGTAGGGAGAAGGAGAGAATCTCAAGCAGACTCCCCACTGAGAGCAGAGCTTGAAGTGGGGCTGGGCTTGATCTCATGACCTTGAGATCATGACCTGACCTGAAATCTAGAGACACTGAACTGCTTGGGCCACCCAGGTCCCCCCAGGCAGGAACTATTAAGTGTTGTTGTCTTTTTGCAGGTGACAAGGATGTCTTTGTGTGCATGCCCACAGGGGCAGGAAAATCCCTTTGCTATCAGCTCCCTGCTCTGTTGGCCAAAGGCATCACCATCGTAATCTCTCCACTCATTGCTTTGATTCAGGTGAGGCTTAGGGGAGTGAAGATGGTAGCCCAAAAAGTTTAGGGGAAGGTTTGTTTTGTTTTTGTTGTTGTTGTTGTTTTCAGCTGGAAATGTCGCTTCTTGTTTGGTCTTTACCCTTTTTTTTTTTAAAGATTTTATTTATTTATTTGACAGAGATCATAAGTAGGCAGAGAGAGAGAGAGAGAGAGGAGGAAGCAGAGAGAGAGAGAGAGAGAGGAGGAAGCAGAGAGAGAGAGAGAGAGGAGGAAGCAGGCTTCCTGATGAGCAGAGAGCCCAATGTGGGGCTCCATCCCAGGACCCGGGGATCATGACCTGAGCTGAAGGCAGAAGCTTTAACCCACTGAGCCACCCAGGCGCCCTGGTCTTTACCCTTTTATTTTCTTTGATTTGCCTATCTCCCTTTCTGTGTTGGGTTTCTGAATTGCCCAAATATGGGAGCTCCAGTAGTGTATATCACTCTGGAGGGTTATGAATGAGTCTTCTGTGTCTCGATGGCCTGAGGTCTCTCACCTTCCTTTGTTACTTTCCACCCAGAGGAGTATGGAACTATGTCTGTATACACATATGAGTGAGACACTCACTCATGGACACACATGTGCACTTTTGACAGGTTAGAAGATGCAGATGGATAGAAAGCAAAATTGATCTAAACAGGCTGGGACATTGTCAGCATCTGCTCTACACCTCTGGGTAAATATATTTAAGGCCTGCAGATGGGCTGACAGAATCAGAAATGAGGAAGTGTGGCCATGCGGTTAAAAGCCATCCAGCATGAAGAGAAACAGAGTGATAGGAACAGTGCTTTTTGAGTTTCATGAGGTCTCAGGCTTTGAACTCAGTGGTTTATGTGCATTCATTTCATTTTTGCAGTGTAAAATTTCATTTAATGCCAACAGCTATGTTGTTAGGTAGTTGCCAGATTTACAGGATGAACAGAGTCTCAGAGCCAGCCAAAGAGCCTGTGGTGATTCAGTGAGTCAGAAATGAGCCAGGACTGTCTGTCTCTAGACTCTGTGCTCTCAACCACTGCACCTCCTGTGAGAAGACCTTGGAGGTTGGGAGGAGGACGTTTATGGCTGGGAAATGCCCAGCGAGCCAAGGTGACCTTGACCACCGGGTCCTTCCCTCAGTGAACTGTTTCCTTTGTTCCCGCAGGACCAAGTGGATCACTTGCTGGCTCTGAAGGTACGAGTGAGTTCCCTGAACTCTAAACTCTCAGCACAGGAGAAAAAGGAGCTGCTCTCTGATCTAGAGCGAGAAAAGCCAGAGACCAAACTTCTGTACATTACGCCGGAGATGGCGGCTTCGGCCTCCTTCCAGCCCACGCTGAACTCACTGGTGTCCCGTCACCTGCTCTCCTACCTGGTGGTGGACGAAGCTCATTGTGTTTCTCAGTGGGGGCACGACTTCCGTCCTGACTACTTGCGTCTGGGTACCCTCCGTTCCCGCCTGGCACATGCCCCGTGTGTAGCTCTGACTGCCACAGCCACCCCGCAAGTCCGAGAGGATGTATTTGCTGCCCTGCACCTGAAGCAGCCAGTTGCCACCTTCAAGACTCCCTGCTTTCGGGCCAACTTGTTCTATGACGTGCAGTTCAAAGAGCTGCTTTCTGATCCCTACGGGAACCTGCGGGACTTCTGCCTTAAGGCTCTTGGACAGAAAGCTGGTAAAGGGGTGAGGAACCTATGGGGCTGACAGGAGAAAGAGCGAGAGCTTCTTTTAAAGGAGGCCACAGTGAAATGGACAGATTGTTCTGTTCTTAATGCTCATTCTCTTCCCGTGTCTCCTCATTCAGTTGCTGTCCGGCTGCGGCATTGTCTACTGCAGGACCAGAGAGGCTTGCGAACAGCTGGCCACGGAGCTCAGTTACAGGGGACTGAGTGCCAAGGCTTACCATGCAGGTGAGGGGCGCCTGGGCCAAGGGGTCCGCCTCCATTTCAGAAGCCTCTCCGTGGGCCTCTTGTTCTTTAAGGATCCTGGATGCTCAGATGGTCTGTCCTCTTTTTCCGGATACCCAGGCAGAGCTAAAGCGATTCCCTCATGTTCATAAAAAGGAGTATAGACACAAATGAGATCTAAAAGGAGAACTATGACTCCTGAATTCTTTTTCTCACCCTGCACCTTTCCAGCAGCAGGTGAGGAGTTTTTAGAAGTCCAGGTACTGGTGTTATGGAAAGAGCACAGGTTTTGGAGGCCAGTGGACTTGGGTTTGAATCTGGGCTTTGATGCTTATTGAGTGCTCTGTGCTCCACGCAGGCCAGGGTCTTTGAGGTGAAGTGCATGGCCCAAGGCCATACAGCTGGTAAGGGATGGATTCCGGGTGTGCATATAGCGCCCAATACAGTAACAAACCCGAGGTAGATTCCAGGGGAAATACAGGCTCCCTTCGTCACCTTCCCCTCCATCACAGGGCTGAAGGCTTCCGAAAGAACACTGGTGCAGAATGAGTGGATGGAGGAGAAGGTCCCTGTCATTGTTGCAACCATTAGTTTTGGGATGGGAGTGGACAAAGCCAATGTCAGGTGAGTGATGGTTCTTGCCTTCCCTGTCCAGTTGGGCCCTGACTCAAGTGGGCTGCCTAGTGTTCTGCCTCAAGGACCAAGTGCACATGGTCCTTCTAGGGCCAGAGGGGAAGGAGGCCCCAGGTGCTATGCAGCCCACTCCCTAGTGACTGTGCAGCAGGTTCTGCCGTCCCCCAGTAGAGGGCAGCATGCAGCCATCGGGCCCATCCATTAACGCAGCCCAGTTCCCTCACTGGAACGGACTATCTAAAAATGCACCCTGTGGAAAATCAAAGGCAATGGCTTGTTACCCAGCATTCCTTGTTACTGCTTATTGACAATCTAGAAGAGACGCGTATGTCCCAGCCTCCTAGACCCACCCTGGCAACTGCTGGGAAGTCTTTTACCTCTAGCCCCACCTAACATTCCAGACACATTTTCAGCTACCGCCAGAAGCCCTTTGCTTTGATTAATACCAACAATAATGCCTTGTATGATTTACAGAGCACTTTTGCATACATGGTCTCGTTAAGACTCACAGGGAAGCTGGGTTGGTCAGGGGAGGAATGAGTCTATGTGCTTACATTTAAGAGAACACAGACTTTGGAAGCAGAGTTTGGACCCTGCATTGGCTGTGGCTTGTTAGGGCCAACTTTAGTCTGACAGCCCTAGGCCCAAATCCTAGCTCTGCTGTCCCCTTGCTATGTCACTTTGTACACATCTTCCTGAATCATTTCATTGTCTGTAAAATGGAGTTATCTCACCTGATAGTAACTGTAAAATTAAATGAGACAAATATATAAACTGGCCCATAGTACGTATTTAATAATGTTATCTCTCCCTCTCTTCCATGAGGGTGAAGGGATTTACTCAAGGTTATGCAGCTCCTTAGTTGCCTTACCTTGTTCTTGAAGCCCAGTGCTTTTTCCTCTGGGCCATGACTGTGAGAGTTTTTGGTTTCTCATATGGACTGGAATTGCCCCCTTTAATTCTGCTGTGGCCTTTAACTTGGGCCGCTCCATGGCAGGAAGGCCTACTGATTGGGTGCGGGGGTCTTGGCCACATTTATTCTGAAACCTGCTAACCCCCTGCTCTTGATGACCACTGAGAGCCCTGTTTGCCTGATTCTGATCACTCCTCCCCTCAGCTCTTCTGCCACAGCTCACGCTGCTTGTCCCTTTGGATCCTTCAGGTTTGTCGCTCACTGGAATATTGCCAAGTCTATGGCTGGGTACTACCAAGAGTCTGGCCGGGCAGGCAGGGACGGGAAGCCTTCCTGGTGCCGTCTCTATTACTCCAGGAACGACCGGGACCAAGTCAGTTTCCTGATCAGGAAGGAAGTAGCAAAACTCCAGGTAAATCTGGGCAGCAGGACCCCTTTCTGTCCAACCCCCTCCACTCTCCAGTTTCACACATCTTATTTCTGAACCCAGATGGAGCTCCTGTAAGCTACAGGGGTGCTCCTAGGGCTAGGAGGTGTAGCGGTGGGGGAAATGGTGTGCTGGTGAATATGGAGCTTGCAGCCACGAGGTCAGACTCTTTCCCTTACATTTGGTGTGTCTTAGTGCAATCTCTTGTAGGCCTTTTATTTTACATAGCCAAGATCAATCCTGCCTTGTGGTTTTTTCGGTTTTGTTTTGTTTGGGTGGAGAGAGAGATGGAGAGAGAATCTTAAGCAGGCTCCACAACCCTGAGATCATGACCCGAGCCAAAATCGAGAGTCAGACGCTCAACCAACGGAGCCATCCAGGAGTCCCAATCCTGCCTTGTTTTAATTAGCTTTGTTACATAAGCATTTTCCCATATTGTTGAAAGTTCTTTGTTTTGTTTTCAGCCTTTTTTTTTTTAAACTGGTTGTACTTGCTTTGCAGAGAGCCTAGAAATAGACCCAAGTATGTAAATGAACTAGATATTTGATAGGTGACATTATAAATCAACAGGAAAAGGATGCAGTGTTGAATAATTGGTGCTGGAAAAAGATAAAGTCCGATACCTGCCTCCTGTACCATACACATGTGAATTATAGGTGGAGTAGAAACCTCAAAAAAGTAATATTGAAGAAAAATATTTTGTTTCCTTGACAAAGAGAAGAGCATGTCAAGATTTTAAAAGTGGAAACTATGAAGGAAGGCATGATCTATTTGACTAAATTCAAACTAAAAATTTCCGTATGACAGACGACATCGTAAACAAGGTGGAGAAATGAGCCATTGCTGGGGAAGGTATTTGCAATACACATGATTGACTGCATACGTAGAGAACTAACTACGGCAGGTCAGTCTATAAAAGGCAGACAGCTGCAGAGCAAGAAGTATGAATTTCACAGAAGAGGGAACCAGCATATCTAATAAAGGTATGACGAGTTGCTCAGCCTCCCTTGGGAATCAGAGAAATGTAGAGGAGGTCATGAGCTGTCACTTCATACAGGTCATACTGGCAACAGTATACAACATGTTTACAGTCACTGTTGGTGAGGATGTGGGGAAAGGGGAACTCACGGTGGTGTCAGGAACATGACCTGGTATGACTGCTTTGAAGAGAGACAAGGAATGGAAAGGTGCTGGGGCTCTGTGATTCGGTATTTCCCTTTCTAGATAAACAAATTGTCATGTGTATGGAGATGCACGGAGATGTTTGCTGCAGCTCCGTCACAATGAACTCTTCGCGTGTAGGGTATTGGATAAGTAAACAGTGGGTTAGTCACAAGTGGAATGGTCTAAAGCAGTTAAAAATGACACAGTAAATCTACATTAACCAACATGGATAAAGTCCCCCAAAGCGTAATTTGTGAAGTTGTAAATGGATACATGCAGACTTTTCCATATAAGAAATAATGCTAAAATAGAGAAATATTGTACACAAGTACTTATATCTGATCTTTACCAAAATGATATTAAAAGGACAAAAAAATATATAAACCCACAAGGACAGAAAGAATAGAAAACAAGGTAGAAATGTCAACAAATGTCTGCCCAGAAAACCCCAGACTCTACTGGAAATCTGTTGGCATTCATAAGAAAACCTGGTAAGGTGGCTGAATATAAGGGAAATACTTTATTTTTTATTTAGTTTTAGTTTTTATTTTTTTAAAGATTTTATTCATTTGACAGACAGAGATCACAAGTAGGCAGAAAGGCAGAGAGAGGGGGAGGAAGCAGGCTTCCTGCTGAGCAGAGAGCCCGATGTGGGGCTCCATCCCAGGACCCTGAGACCACGACCTGAGCCGAAGGCAGACACCCAACTGATCGAGCCACCCAGGCACCTATAAGGGAAATATTTTAGAAAGCCTAACTTTTCTCCACATGACCATGAATACCTAGGAATGGAAATGAAAAAAGTATTTAAGAATAAAACTTATAGAATATCTAGACATAAATGTTACTGCCTTTAAAGAGACGTAAAAAAAAACACCAAAATTCTCCCCAGTTGGTTTTAATATGCAGCCAGGCATGAGAACTACTGATTTAGATCAAGAAAATGAATATCTTGTGGAAAGAAAACAAGCTCTGGGTAGGTACAAAAACTGAGTGGGAAGAAGTAAAACTATCAGTTCACCTCAGAGTTAATATAAATGAAGTTCCGGTTGAAATCCCAAAAGACCTCTCCCAGGAAGTGGAACCTTAGAACTTACGTGAAAGAATAAGTGCCCAAGAACAGCCAGGAAAAGTCTGAGCGGGAAGAATGGTGAAGAGGACGAGCTTGACCCGGTGTCAGAATGTGCTGGGGTGTTGCCGTACCCAAATCCTTGTACTACAGCAATAAGCAGTGGCCCAGACAAGGGAATTAGAAATAAGGCCCAGATCGTATGAGAGTTTAATATGGATGAAGCCAAACCTTCCATTTAATGGAAAATGAAGGGAGTGTCTGAGAGGTGGTGCGGGCATCCTTCTGGAATAAGATGAAAGTACCCCATTTGGCACTTTATATATAGAAGACAGATTGATGGGGCGCCTGGGTGGCTCAGTGGGTTAAGCCTCTGCCTTCGGCTCAGGTCATGGTCTCAGGGTCCTGGTATCGAGCCCCGCATTGGGCTCTCGGCTCAACAGGGAGCCCGCTTCCCTTCCTCTCTCTCTCTGCCTGCCTCTCTGCCTACTTGTGATTTCTGTCTGTCAAATAAATAAATAAAATCTTTAAAAAAAAAAAAAAGACAGATTGAGGACCTACATATAAAAAACAATGTCTTGCAAGACATTTGATTCCAGTGTATAACCTAGGGCTTGAAATAGTTTTGTAATGCAAATCAGAAATTCAGAAAGCTATCTTTTAAAAAAATAAATATTTGAATTAAAGTTCTTGAACTTTTTGGGGGAGAGGAGAGCAGCGAAGCAAGGTTTATTGAGTGATAGCAAAGTGATAGTACAAAGCTCCCAGGGAGGGAGGGGACCAGAGAGGGTCGCCGCTGGAGTTTCTAAATCTAGGGGTTTTTATAGGCTTGTTGTTGGGCTGTTTTAATCTGATTAGTCCTCCCTGGGCCTGTCACCCAATCAGGTGTTTGTCATCTGTCATATGGGTAGGGTGGAGGGCTCCTTCCAAGGTGGTGTAAAATCCTTTTATTTTTTTAAAGATTTTATTTATTTATTTGACAGAGATCACAAGTAGGCAGAGAGGCAGACAGAGAGAGAGAAGGGGAAGCAGGCTCCCTGCTGAGCAGAGAGCCCGATTTGGGGCTCGATCCCAGGACCCTGGGATCATGACCTGAACCAAAAGCAGAGGCTTTAACCCACTGAGCCACTCAGGCGCCCCTGTAAAATCCTTTTAAAGGCAGCCCCAAGTTCTTGAACTTCTAAAATCCTGAACCCATGGAAAGAATGTAGGCAGCAAAAGATACCATAAACAAAGCCAGTATATAAACAGCAAATCTGGAAAACTGGTTATGCAGAAGGCAAACCAGAGGTTGAAGTTGAGGGTACACAGAGAGATTTCGACAACTGACAGGAAAAAGCAAAGTATGTGAAAGCAAGTTCCAGAAAAGCTCGTTCAGACGGCACATCAAAGACTTTTCAAATTCAGTGGTAATCAGGTGAGTGCAAATTACAGCAGACTGACACACATGACACACACACCAAAGGGCTCTAACACTCGTGGCTAGTGAGCACATGCAGGAGAGGGCCTGCACTTTGCCTGGAATAGTTGCAGTCTTTTTGCGGGGAAGCATTCTAGCAATATCTATTGTACTTTATATTTTTATTTTTTTAAAGATATTTGAGGGGTGCCTGGGTGGTTCAGTCGTTAAGCATCTTCTTCTGGCTCAGGTCCTGATCCCAGGGTCCTGAAATCGAGCCCCGAATTGGGCTCCCTGCTTAATGGGAACCCTGCTTCTCCCTCTCCCACTCCCCCTGCTTGTGTTTCCTCTCTCACCCTCTCTTCTCTCTGTCAAATAAATACATTTAAAAAATCTTAAAAAAAAAAAATCTTTAAGAGAGAGCGAGAGCTTGGGGAGGGGCAGAGAGAGAGGGATAAGGAGAGTGTGTGCTGAGTGCAGAGCCTGCTGCGGGGCTTGATCCCAGGACCCTGAGATCAAGAGTCAGATGCTCAACCTACTGAGCCATCCAGGCTCCCTCCATTATGCTTTAATATACAGGTACCCTTTATCCCAGATACTGTATTTCTGGGACCGAATCACCTGGAATAAAAGCTCATGTGCTGGAGGGCCTGTGTGGTAAAATTGGTCACGGGGACTGACACTGGAACAACTAAACACTTGGCCACGAGCAGTGATAAAATTACAGCACGTGCTCACCATGGGGCTGGTAGGCATAACTGAGCGCCCGAGGGTTCTCTTGCTTTTTGAAAAAGAAATCATGTTTATTAATGTGTGACATTAGAGGCTTGCTTATTCCCTGTCTGCTCTGTTGAAATGTAAGTTCCATGAGAGCAGGGACCTCTTGTTTCCTATGGATCTGTGATGGCCAGAGCAGTGCCCAGAATATAGTAAATGCTTAATGGTGTTTTCGAACGGGTGGGGGACGTGAGTACAAGTTGGGATGGGGAAGGAAGGGGCCTTGTGTGGACCTGGTATTTGCCAGGAATGAAGGGCACCTATTAACTGATTCCCCTCCACCTTTTTTTTAAACTGATCCCTTTTATCTGAAATCCAAATTAGACAAAAGATTTTGGTAAGGTGATGAGGTATATAGTATATTTATTTAAAACTTACACAGTGGGTTATAAGAGCTCGCGCTAGGCTTATCAGGAAGACACGTGAGACAGAGAAGATCCAGAGCCTCCAGAGAGGTGGTATGTGGAGGGCTGGGAGCCAGAACAGCACCGGTTTTCTCCGTCATAATATCAGAAAGGAGAAACAATAAAGCAGTGCCTTCCAATTCTAGATAAACCGTTTCCAACGTAGAATTTCCAACCCAGCCAGCCAGTTAAGTTTGAGGCAGTTTAAAGACATTTACAGCTTCCGGTTTGCTAAGCAGAGGTTGGATGTCGGAAGTGTTGGTCTTTACAGGCTCTGGGAGCAGAAGGGTGTTGCTGGCAGCAGCGGGGCGGTAGACCGAAGTGCTCATGTTCTCCCAGCTGTGCAGGGATTTAATCACCATGTCCAGTGAAGGGCAAAGATCAGGACTACCAAGAAGCACCCCCCGTGCTCAACATCCAATGTTTTCCCCTTGTTTGGCCGGTCACAGAGTCAGGAATTCAAAGAGGCCTTCAGCACGATGGGTCAGAACAGAGAGGGTTTCACTGACAAGGAAGATTGCGTGATATGCTTGCCTCCCCGGGGAGGAGTCCAGCTGGTGTGTATCTGGATGCTCTGTGGTGAATGAGCCTCCGGGCCCATAGATTTCACCATGTTTCTCACTGTGTTTGGCGAAAAGCTAAGTGACACAGATCGGAAGGTGTCCTCAGAAATGCTTTTGCTTGCTTTGATGGAGAAGCAACGGGCACCATCCGGGGAGATTTCCTGAGAGCCACAGACAGCGTTGGGAGGCCGGCTTACGGGAAGTGGGTGAGCTGTGCAGAGAAGCGTCTGGACAGAAAGGGAAATTTCAGTTCGTGTGCCTCCGTAGACATGGAGCAAAAGACAGAGATGACTCAAAAGAAGTTCAGATTCCGGCCAGACGTTCCAACCACTGGGGTATTTCTGAGACTCTCTTAGACCCTGTTGCATGCTCTTAGCTTTGCAGCTTTTGTCTTTCTCGTATTGATTCTCAGCCATTTGGGGCACGTATGTCTCTGTAATCACAGGAGGGGGCACTTGTTACGATTTTCAGAATAGAAAATAGGGCAGTATTATATAGGGTTCCCAAATGCCAGTCCCTGGGTCCTTGGCATGAGAATCACCTGAGCAGCTTTTTGAAAATAAACTCCCCAAAGCTCTTGTTCTAGAAAGTTCAATTCAGTAGTCTGGGTATGGGCCCCAGCTCACTTTTTGAAAGTTATCCATGTGGGGTATGTCTGACTGGCTCAGTCAGTACAGCAGGTATCCCTTGAGCTTGGCATTGTGAGTTCAAGCCTCTTGTTGGGTGTGGATGTTGCTTGGGGAAAAAAAAATCTTTAAAAATATAAAATAAGGCAACCCCTTCAGGTCCCCGCCCTCCCTGGGAGCTTTGTACTATCATTTTTTTTTCTTTGTACTATCATTTTGCTATCACCCAACAAACCTTGCTTTCCTGTCCACCAAAAAAATAAACAAAATTTAAAAGTAAAAAAAAATAAAGTTATCCAGGTGATTCTGATTTATGGTTTGGGGACACCATTTTATAAATGGCACCAGAGGTGCTTGCTGTCATTTGGTATTTTTGTCCCTCATCATCGTTTAGGCTGCAAGGTAATTGAACTATACCAGACTTTTGCAAAGTGAGCTTTTCTTGTCTCCAGGAAAAGAGAGGGACCAAAGCGTCTGATAAAGCTGCTATCCTGGCCTTTGATGCCCTGGTGACCTTCTGTGAAGAACTGGGGTGAGTGACTTATTTCACACGTACAGCACTGTGTTAGTGAGGTCTTTCCTCCACCAGCACCTGCCAGTTAACCAGCTGATGTAGGACAGCTGTCAGGCGACCAGGGTGCGCTCCCTGCCAAAGGCTCCTGCGTGGAGCGTTTCCCATCAGGCAGCCTGGACATCAGTATCCTCACCAGGAAGGCCCCAGAAACTAGCAGTGTGAAGACATTCAGTATTTTGGTGGTTGTCCATCTACCCCACTCCACCCACTTTCGGAGTAGCTAGTCCCATAGGTGACCTGTCGTGAGTCACGTTGTGGCCATCACTTGACACTGAGCTGGACCACTGGCTTTAGCTGAGTAGGAGTCACTTTTATCCTGGACCCAAAAAGAGCCACGTGACCTACCTTATCTCTTGCGGGTGAATAATAAGCTTGGAGAGAAGTCAGCTTTTCTCGTGTAACACCAGCCCGCCCACTTGGAATCCACTTCTCTGTTTTATCTGTATGTGCTGGTGGCAGAGGCTTGAAAGAGCCTGATGGCTGCTCAGTAGCAGGCAGGTTGTGGCAGGACAGGTTCAGGACACAAGGGACAGCCTGGATGATTCTGGACAAGCTGGGAGCATTTTGCATGCATGTGGCCCTTTGGTCTTAAAAAACTCACCTTGGCCAGACCCCACTGAAAAACACTGTGAGGTCGATGAGGCAGAAGTGATCGCTTCAGACTTAGAGATGAGTAGGCCGATGCCCAGAGAGGTCACGGTCACCAAGCTCACAGTAGACAGACACCGCCAATCCTGGGTCTCCCAAGTTTTAGTGACATGAGCATTGCATATACACGTACCATCTTGGTTTTTGCACAACTGGATTTTTGAAGCCTGGAGCAGAGTAAGTAGACAGACCTGGTACCTAGCGGATGTTTGGAGCACTCCTCTAGAAACAGGTGCTTATTTGGGCCATGTGTTTTGATTCCCACCCCCTCCTACTCACTGACGATTTGGTGGCTCCTCTGAGACTGAGTCTCTGGTCTGGTCTGTGTGGCCCGGCCACGCCCAGCAGAGGTGCTTGGCACCCTTGCCCAGAGCCGTCTTGACCCGAGCCCTTTTCAGGCACTAGTACTGGGCGTTGTTAGATTAGGCCCTCTCGGGCTCCTGGAGCAAAAGGCTGATAATGAGAGGGCCGCATGTCCTTGCTAATTGTCAGGGTCCCTTCTGCTGGAAATAACCCTGCCGGGTTCTTTTCTGGGATGAGTCTGAGGCTCCGGGGGACCGTCTAAAGGGTTAGCTCTGCCATATCCCTCTGGGCTGTTGCCACCCAGCAACAGGACAGATCCTGCTAGGGGCCCCTGCCTTCATTTCTCCTGCGTCCTGCTGAGGCGCTGGGGCCTCTCTGTGCTTCCGGGGGTCTCGGCATCAACGGGCCTCCTGCTGCACCACGTGCAGCCTCATCTCTCCTACCTCGTGTGCTACATTCGAGGGTTCCAGATTCCAGGACTGCCCGGGGTGGAAAAAACCGCTGTTGTGGCTGAATGTGAAATTGCTCTTTGGGTAAAAAAAGAAATGTTTCTTTATGGCGTAAATGGTGTATCGCCTATTCCCCACCAAATATTTGCTCTTTTTCTAAGAATAGTCCCGGTTTGTGGTATAGTGGAAGCAGCTGTTTGCTAAGGGAGGGCACCTGGCAGCCAGGGCCAGGCCCGTGTGGTGGCTTTGGCAGAGGCAGGCGCGTCTACAAAGATGGCGTTGTAGGGCGGTCTGGGGTGCATGGGAGCTGTGGGACCCTGTGAGGGATACCTGGGCATCTCTGGGACCAGTGGCAGAGACACTCAGGTCAGTATGGATGAGGTCAAGGCTGGGCATCCAGCGGTGCTCCTCTCTCCTCCATGTGCAGCTGTGTTCTCTGAGCCGTGGCTGTGACAAGCATTTGTTCACTCCGGGGCGGTGCTCTCCATCTTTGAGCGTTAAAAAGAACGATCATTAGGTTGAAACAACTTCCGTCTTTGAGGCTTCTGTACCTTATCTGAGATAGAACAGCCTAGTGTTTGGGCCACAGCTGAACTGGGCGCTGTTATCTGGGGACTGTGGTCTGGGGGAGCCGACAGCCCTCCTGACTATTCATTTGTTTGGTCATTTATTCGTTCATTCATTTATTCATCCAGCAAATATTGTTTGAAATGGACTGCACGCCCGGCACGTTGGGTATGGGGTTACAGTGGTGAGCAGAGAGTGGGTTCAGCGGGGAAGACAGGCACTTATCAGATAATCACATTTGTTAATTAGTTAATTACACTAACATGTATGTATAATTTGCAGACTCTTAAAAGGGCTTTGAAGAAAAGGTCCATGGTGTTTTGAGAGTTGACAGGTGGGGCCCTTCTTGGCCCCCAGAAAGTCAGGTCATGACTCTTCACAGCGGCTGACCTTCCCCAGTGGAGGGAACAAACCAAACACAATGGCAAACACGATGAGAAACAGGATCACAGTGATGAATAAGGTGATCACTGCCAGGCCCCCCTGGTCCCACGGATTCTGCCAGAAATCATCATTCCACATGAGCTTCCAGTTTGTCAGTTTGCCCACATGAACCTGGAAGAGAGGGGATGGAGGCCCTGTCACAGGCGCTGCTGTCCACCCCCAACTTGATCCTCTGGAGCAGTCTCAGAGCAGCTGGCCCACCTCTGCAGGGACCTCGGGCCTGACGCCCTGGTGTGAACAGGAGCTGTCCCATCCCTGAGATCGACTCAGCTCGAATCTAAAACACACCGCTACATATCCTCGCTGTTTTCCCTGCCTCCACTGCCAAACATTTGGGAAGCATTTTGAGAGAGAAGCATTGGAGTCGAGGGGTGGACTGACTCCAGCTGAGGCCTGGGTAAGCTAGCTCCCCGGGAGGCAGCTGGAAACAACGAGGTAGTCTTGAAGCAGCTCAGGCGGGTAGGCTGCGGGCCGGTGGCCAGTTGAGGGGAGTAGCGGCAAGAAGGAAGGAGTCACTACCTGATTCTGCTGGTAACACTCCCGAGTCCTACGGGCCGGCCGGTCAGGGTAATCCTGCAGGCCCCACACTTTGGGGGCCCGAGCCACACCCTGACTCAAAGCTGCAGCTGTTGGGAGGAAAAGGTGTTGGCATGGCCAAGTGGCCCTGACCCGACCTCACCGCTGTCACGGGAGCGGACAAAGGTGGGCTAGGACCTGTTGCCCAGCAACTGCCTTCCCTTCTGCCTTTCATACTTACCCCTGCAGCTGCGTTCTGTCCTTTTTGTGATGTCGTCGTGGGGGCTGCTCAGGGTACGGATGCGCAGGCGTCCTCGCCGAGAGAACTCAAGCTTGAGGTGAGGCGGGGAAGGACACTGGATCCGGGACCCTTGCCTCAGGCCACCTGTCCACCTCGCCTGTGGCTGGGTCCTGCCTCTCCTCTGTCTGGCTGCCAGCCTGTGGACTGGGAGGTCCCAGCCAGAGCACAGGAAGCCCCGGGCTGGAGCCACACCTGGGCTGCTCTCTTCCTGCGGTGCTGGGGGCCTGGTGAATGGTTAACTAGCCCCGGCTGGCGCCTCCTTGAGCGAGTTTCTTTGTGGAGGTGTTTATCACCACTGAGGCCCCAGAGTCCTGCGGAGGCTACCTTCTCCCTAGTGCCTTTGCTGGCCTCTCAGCTGCTTCACGTGGTTGGTTCATACCCACTGGTGTGATAGGGCAGCGAGGAAGCAGAAATGGAAACCTGGAGACCACCATTTATTCCTTACAAGTTAGGGTTCAAGTGCCCGGTGTGGCCAGGAACCACACTAGGTACCTCATGTCCATTGTGAGCCAAGGGAGGCAGGCCCTGCCCACCCGGAATTCCACTCCGTCGTGCTGGTCCTCAGCCCTGCTCATTAGAATCATCTGGGCCCTGCCTGGAATCACTTAGCTCGGTCCCTGAGCAGTCAGAGGAGCCTCGTGCTCTGTAAAGCTGGCAGGGCAATGCTAACGTGCAGCCGGGGTTGGAGGAGGTGCATGATGGGCGAGTTCAGTGACGTCCTTCTTAACTGTCCTGGGCTCACCTGATGTTTCGAGTTTCCCTTCGTAAAACCTACTGACGCGTGCCCCTGGCTGCTGAATGCTCCCAGCCAGCAGGCTGGTCTCTAGCACAGCGGCCTACTTCCTCTGTCGGTGAAGCTGGATACTTATCGGGAGTCAGCTGTTTGCTCCCAAACCTGTTTGTGGCACTTGTCCTTGTTCTTGTGATGGCATAATAATCGCACTTAATGTTACATAAAAGCGTGGAGCAACAGGAATCCCCGAAACCCCAGTTCTGCAGCTGGGGAGCAGGCACCGGCGTGAAGCAACTTACCCAAGGTCATCCAGCTGAGAAGTAACCGCGGGGTGGGGTGGGGGGCGTGTTTAAACCCAGCCGTGGGGGTTGGCTGCAGGCCAAGCGCCGCTCTGTGCTGCCCCTCAAGGGGGTAGGCGTGGGGTGGGGGGAGTTGTTATAAGCACCTGTGACTACTTTGGAATGACTTTGGAATCACTCAGTATGTCTTTGAAAACAGATGTGGCAAGACAACTGGAAACATTTTGCGAAAATCCAGGATTTCACATGTCGATTTCTTTGTGGATGTCTTTAAGTTCTTGTTTTGCTTCATAGTTACCACAGTTAGCGAAGAGCCAATGTAGGAACTCTCCGGCCGGCAAAGCCCACACTTGGAGGAAAGGCCTTGGCCCTACGGCAGAAAGACTGGCCAAGGCATTGTGCACGTGTGTGTTTCCATTTAAAACGAGATGTGGGGGGAGTCTTTTGGGTTGTGTACACAAAAGGGTCTTGAACCGACTTTTTTAATTAATTGCTGACCCTGACCAGAAAATTCTACAAAAATGATTCTCATGAAGGGAACATGAAGGGAAGAGGTGGAGAATGCTGTTGGTGTGTGTGGTGTAGCCTGGCCTGGGGGCCGAGGGGATCCCCGGTAAGGCGTGAGGTTAGGTTGAGGCATGAAGACCATGGAAGGACTAGGGCACAGAGTTTCATGCAGCCGGTCCTGAGGACAGTGAGGAAACTACTTTTGAGAACAAAATTATTTTGTTCTTAGTTTTTTGGTCTGGAAGTTGTGTTACCCACGGGCAACCATGTCGTGAAGATCTTTACTGTAGGTTGCTCTTGAACTTGAGCAACAGATTTGAGAAGACAGATTTAGGAGAAAGAGTGTTTTATGTGCTCTCTGCCAGGTTTTGCTAATGAGATTTCTTACGCCCGTGGCTCTATGGTGGTTTTTGGTAAGTCCTAATAGCTGGGAAAATGCACGGATCTTAAGTGTGGACCTTTGGAGGAAGTGAGAGGCTCCTGTGGAGATGAGGCCAGAGTCGGGAGACCTGACGAGGCTGGGAAGTCCGTGCAGCGGTGTGAGCAGGCAGACTTGGGGGTGGCTCGTTCCAGGAGGCCTGGTGGCAGGAATGGAGACTGTGATGGCCAGATGCCCTTCGGGGCGCAGATAGCCTCCTGGCCCCCCCTTCCGTGGCTACTGTTGCTGCACCTCTGTTTGTCCTTTCCCACAATGGGGGGTCTTGCTGCTTCCTCTAACTGCCTCTTTCAGAGAAGCCCCGTGCTGGGAGTGTGCGGGGCTGCCCTCGCGCTGGGGCCAACCTGACTTGAGCTGAGTGGGACCAAAGCCCGCCCAGGAGCGCCGTGGGGAGCCTTTAGTGGTGGGGCTCAGCGTGGGCCAGTTTGCTGCCAAGTGGGGAGGAGTCAGCCATCCCAGCTGGGATGGCGTCTTACTTGGGCTCCACAGTTAGGAGGAGGAGAATGCCAGAGAAACGGCCCGTGGTCCCCACCTCTTGGCAGCCAGACTCTGCTAGCAAGGAGGCGCAGCCTCTGCTGCCTCAGGAAGGGCCGTTCTTTAGTACCGATGGGAACTTGCTTCAGGGAGAGTCACAAGGGGACTGGACTGCCCCACTGTTGTCCTTCCTGGGGCCCCTCCAGCTGTTGGGGCACTCCCACCTGCCCTGTTTTCCTTCTGGGAGGGAGACCTAATTGGGCCCCACCCTAGCTCTACCTCTTGGGCTCCACCCACTCAGAGGGAGGTGATTTTAAGACGGTTTGAGGTGTGGGAGCTAAGATTGGTTGATGGAGGATAATGGGATGGGAGCCTCATCCGTACTGCAGCTGGGAGGCCTCAGGGCCTGGGTGTGGTGAGCAGTGGTGAGCCCGGGTTCCTTCTGCAGTTGGGTGGGCTGGGCCCAGCGGCTGACTCTGCCATTTTTAGCTGGTTGAATTTAGGAGAGTGACCTAGTGTTGCTAAGACTCAACTTTGTCATCTCTTAAATAGGGATAATAATGGTGCCCATGGCACTGAGGCTGCTGTGATCACACAGAATCACGTACATCAGAATGCTTTAGGCTTGGGGCACTGGGTGGCTCCGTCAGTGAAGCCTCTGCCTTCAGCACAGCTCATGATCTCGGGGTCCTGGGATGGAACCTCACATCAGGCTCTCTGCTCAGCGGGGAGACTGCTTCTCCCTCTCACTCTCTGTGCTTTCCCTCTCTCTCTCAAATAAAATGCATTTTAAAAAAAAACGCTTAAGGCAGTGGCGGAGCACACATAAGCCCTCAGGGAAGTTTAGCCAACGTGATCATCACCCAAGACCTTCAACATCCTCCTGTTACCACTGTTATTCTGAATCCTGTTCTTGTGGGGTGGGTACAGCCTGGTCCTTGAATTTCTTTTCTTTTGTGTGGAAGGACTTCCTCTCTGGGTCTTCAACCTAAACCAAACCCGTCAGACAAGTCAGTGGACACCAGGAAGTGAAACCAGCCAGAGTTTCTCACACCTGCCTGCCAGCCAGAGATAGGGGGGAGCAGGGAGCAGGGCCTGGCATCCCTGATCCACTCGGTGTTCTAGGTAGACAGGGCTCCACCCCAGTGGCTCTGGGGGACCAGTGGGGATGGAGGGAGAGGTACCGTGGAGAGCTTTTTGGTTCCCCCCAACCCTCATTCCTGGGTTGGTAGCTCTACCTGGGCTGTTGTGTGGAAGAGAAAGTAAACTGAAGGGAGGGAGACGGTGGTGGTACATTGCGGCGGGGCCAGTCTTTAAAACGGGTCCACGTTGCTCTTGCTTAGAGGGGTGGGCAGATGGTGACGATGGCTCATCCCTCCACATGCCCAGCACTGTTCCGAGTGCTTGCTGTAGGTCATCTCCTTTCTCCTCACGAGCTCAGCCCAGAGGGCAGCTGCCGGGGTTAGCAGAGTCTCTGAGGGCAGGAAATGTGGCGTGGGGAGGTCGAATCACTAATGGGCATTCACGCAGCCGCGGAGTGGCGGCGTGAGGATTGGCACTCGGACAGCCCGGCACACGACGCGGGGAGGACTGAGGGGTCGGGATGCAGGTTATGGACCACAGTAGGGGCCTGACCTCTTTTCTCTGACTCCAGAAGTGTGGGAAGACCCGGTGGCCTGAGCCCACTGGCGTGGGGTGTGCAGGCTACAGTAACTGGCGGCGGAAGCCGTGCGGCGGCATTCCTGAGCCCAGCACCCGGGCAGGCGCTACGCCGTCACGGCAGTGGGGGCATCTGGAGCCGGAGCTCAGCAGCGCTGGTGCCGACGGGACTTTCACCCTCGCCCTTCCCCTGGCTCCCTCTTGCGTGGCATTCCTGCCTGCCTGTGTGTTTTTCCAGCTTTCACGGGCACAGGGAGTGCGGAGGCCTGGAAAGGACAGTCACCGGCCACACCCCTGGGATCCTGGCGCATTGCCCTTCAGAAGCACAGTGCCCAGGCCAGGGAGTCTGATGCCGCAGAAACACATAACCAGAAAGCTTTTACTGGGAGAGAAACAGGCAAATACCGGAGCAGAATACTGACGCCGCCCCTCTGGTGGGAAGCTCGGGGTCCAGTAGCTAGTGCACAAAGCCCCTCTTTGGCGTGGAGGTCCCGAGGGCCAGCTCCCCACAGGTGCGGGCTGTTCTCCATCCAAGTATGGGGACCCTGCTTCTGTGTTTTGTTAAAAGGTGCAGATTGGGAAAGTTCCAGTTCATGTTTACTCGGTGTTTGAAACAGTTGACTCGTCCTCAGCCCCCTAGGATTCACCGGCAGGTCATTGTTTGGGGGCTGTACCAGCGCTTGTTTCCTTGATGAGGCTGCAGGTGGTGGGTTCCTGGGCAGGGCCGGAGCTGGGGCCACGGGATCGCGGTCTGGTGGCCTGTGGGCCACAGAGCCAGGTGGCACCTGGGATCATGGCTTCGGCAGCCTCCTCTCCAGCGTCTCGTCCTCATCTCCGTCTCTCATGGTGGGGTCATGGGCCGCACTTGGACCTTCCTGCCTCTGCGCTCAGGGCAGCAGCAGCAGCAGCAGGCTGTCAGCAGCAGCAGCAGCACGGTAGCTGGGAGGAGGAGACAGAAGCAGAGGGCTCTCAGAGAGAGAGAACACACACCTGACTTCCAAAGAAACCCCTCCGGAGGTGGCCGGCTCTTTGCCCACAGATAGTCTGGTGAGAGGTGTTGGGGGTCCCCTTGCCAGCCACTGGGCCCGACCTCCCTATTGTGCCACCTCTGCTGCCCACAGCTTCGCTCCCTCCATCCCTCGTCGGGATGCGGGGCTGCCTCTGGGCCCAGGTTCCAGCACCACCGCATCACCGAAGCAGCTTGTCGAGGATTAGGGCAGTCCCTTGGCTCTCCCCCAAGGACATCCGCTTCTCCTCCTCTGTCTGGGGGACACCTAGCCAGCCCTCTGACCAGCACCAAGGTCTCACCCGGATGCCAGGAACAACCAGGAATACTGGGGAGAAAGCGAGAGCCCCAGCTTACCTGTGAAAAGGAGGATGACCGAGAAGGCCACGATCTCCACGGGCTCGGCCTGGGGTAGCCTCTGTAGCTTGAGCAGTAGCCTCTCACCCATGGAGCGCATCTCCTGCACGAAGCTGGCAACTGCCATGGTGTGCCGGGCTCCTGCAGGCGCCTGGCGGGCGTGCTGAGCAGTGACGGGAGTCCCCACCCACCTGCAGCCCGCAGAACGAGTTAGTCAGGTCTCACCCCTGCACCCCTGTGGCTCATGAGCAGGGAGGGAGCCTTTGGGGCCCTCCGCCCAGCACCCGGCAGTGGCCCTCAGCCCCCACCCAGCTGATACCACCTGGCTTCCCGGCTCAGCCAGACACAGGAGCAGTCTGTCAGCTTGCCACGGTTGGCCAGGGTTCCCGACTTCGAGGTGGGGTGACTTCACGGTTACATTCCTTTGTCTCAGGCACCACTCCTGGTTTTGCTGGGGGGGGGGGCTCGGGCTGGCGTGGCTCCCCGGTGACCCCTGCGTCCTTCAGGACTTCAGGCGCCTTGCCTGGGTTCTCAGCGGGGAGACTGGGCTTTGGGACTCCAACCTGGAGCTCTTGGTGCTGTCATATGTGGAGCAGGCACATGGGGGCTTCTAGCTAGGGTCACCTTGAGGTCAGAGCTAACGGGGAGATGGTCCGAGCCCCTTTGGGGCCCCCTGCCCCTCCCACCAGCCCAGTTTCTTTACTCATAGGTGTTCTTTGAGGAGGAAGAGATGGCACTGTGTCCTCACAGGTTTACCCAAGGAGGTCCTCTCAGGATGGGATCAGGCATCCCAGTGCTGGTTTACCAGCCCCTCCCCTGCTGGCTCAAACCAGGAGAGTCCCCTCTGCCCCTACCCCTGTCCCAGGTATGTGGCAACTCAGCCCTCTGGCCCCCTGACTGAGAGCCTTTCCTAAGGGTGCCCGGCAGGGTGCAGGGCAAGGTCTGCAAGCTCTGCAGAGCCTGAGTGGGAGCGCACTCTACCTCAGTGTCTTTCCCCTTCAGTGGACATGAGGGACCCAGTAGCTCTTCAGAGATGGACCAGGGACAGCCTGTGCCAACCCAGCCTGAACTTGTTCACCTAAGGCGGCTCTGATCCAAGAGAGGGTAACAGGTGTCAGGGGCTCATGCCAGACCTGAGGATCTAATTACTGTCGCCTTGTCCTGGGCTATGGTCAGGTGGTTCTCCTGAGATGGCTGCAGTCTTGGAAGCTGGTCACTGCTGGGACTTCCGTCACAGTAGAGCCGTCTTAGAACTGCCTTGAAGGTCTTCTGCTTGAATTCTCTACCTTGTTCCTGGCCCCGTGCACTCCTTCTGGCCTGCAGCCTTCGCCTGAGCCCCTCTTGGTGAGATGGGGCGGGGGGGTCCCACCTGCTACGACAGCCTGCCCTCTTCCCTCTTGGAACAGTGCTGATCATTGGAAGGTGGGACCTCCTCCTGACCTTGCTGGTCCCGCCTGTGGTCACATAGGACACTTGTACCCCTCTTCTGCCTCGTGGGCCTTCGGGACCTGGACGGCAGCTGGCAGGTATCTCCCATGTCCCCTCTTCCACAGGGTAACTATCCTCATTTGGTCAGCTGCCCCATAGGGAACGTTGTTTTGATGCCATCTGACTCCTTCCTGCTTCTGTGACATGGATGCGTCTCTGTCTCTCTGAGTCTGTTTCTTTTCCTCATTTTATGTGAGAGGAGATGCCCATCTTTCAAGGCTGTTGGATTGATTCCTGGGAGCACAGCAGCGGCCAGCGCAGGTCCTGGCACACATGGGGGCCCCACACATGTGATTCCCCTCGGGTAGGGGGTTTGGCCACCATAGGAGCATCGAGGAAGCCTTTGGGGGCAGTCGTACCCCCTTGTATCCTGTCAGATAGGGTATCTATCTGGGGACCTTCATCTGTGTCCCGCGTTCCCAGGATGTCTGCTGTGGGAGGTGAAGGCAGGTGGTGGGCTGGAGCCAGGAGCTGTGGTGTAAGTGATGTTGAGGGTAGTGGGCAGCCGAGGGGTCACGGGTTTCCTATTGGAAGTGGGAGGCTCCTGGAGTTAGATCCTCCTGTCTTCTCTCATGCCCCACCCCAGGGTCAGCATGTTTCTGCAAAGGAGATCAAGATCCCGGTTTCCAAGTGTCCTAAAGGTCACGGGATCCCAGAATGCCACAGGTCATCTAGCCCTGCTTCCCTTGCTGTACGGGGAGCAGCTGCGATAGTAAGTGGTTCCTCTGTGGTTATGCAGCGGGAAGGTGAGCCTGGGCCCCCTCTTACCCCATGCTGGCTCTCGTGGAAACCTTTCCTAGGCAGCCTGCCCTCTGGCTGGCAGGTTAAGTCAGCTCCCAATGCGGCCTGCTGAGGGCACTGCCCATGCACCAGGCCCGGTGCAAAGACCAGGGCCCCAGAGCCTTTTGGCAGTAGGTGTGCCCCGCGCGACTGGCGCCGGCCGCACTCCGGAGTCTGGGGCCCGGCATTCATCCAGGCGCCTCACCCCCAGGCTGGGGCTGCACCTGTTCTTTGAGAACCTCAGGGGACTCGTCATCAAAAGGCCAGATCTTGTGTGTCTGCCTCTGGTTCACCAAACTCCTCCCCAAGCATAGGGCCCCTCTCCTCTGGTCACCGTGAACAAGCCCCAGCCCTTCCTGCTCTGACCAGGGAAGTGGGTTTGCGCCAGGAGGGTGGTCTCCTCATTCTGGGGCCTCTCTGGGTATCCCCAGTTCCTGTGTTCCCAGGAGTGCAGCAGCCCGCCTGCTGGTCTCATTCCTGGAGGAGGGAACGGAGGTGCCCAGCAAAGCCCCGGGGCAGGGGGGGGGGCGCTTCGCACAGGGCTCAGGACTTGGGCACCATGTCTCCGCCCCCCTTGGTCTGGCGCCTTCAGCCTGATTGGCCCTGCGCCTGCCTTGCCTAATGTAGCCATCAGAGACCCCTTGAAAGAGGAAGCGGGCGAAGGCCAGCTGGGCCAGGGCGGCGCTTTCACTCGAGTTTCCAGGTCCAAAGACCTGGGAGGGGTTGTGGAGGGGGAAGCCTCCGCTTTTGAGCAAGATGGAACGTGGAGACCCGCCAGTCTGAGGGCTGTGATCTCCAGAGCAGGGAGGATCCAGGTTGGGCCAAGGCTACTCTGCTGTGCAGAAAGGTGGGCTTCGTTGGTCAGAAGCCTCAGCTCTGAAGTCAGCCGTCTTCCAAGCGCTGTGACGTCAGGATGCTGCAGCGTCCGACCCAGGGGACCTGCGCCCCGCTCTGGGAGGAATGCCGGTCCACACGCGGGGGAGGCCGTGGCTGTGGCCGTGGATGGCATTGTGCCTTTGTGCCCAGGGCCTCTGATGAGCTAACAAGCTGTACCAGCCCCTAGGGTCTCGCCCCGGGCTGCTCCCTGATTCTGTCTGGGCTGTGATCGGGAACGGGGCCACTGGACACCTAAGGTTCTGCCCCAAGGGCTGACAGGGAACCCCCCCTTTTTTTTTTTCCAGTTGACGTTCTGCCGTTTCCACCCTGGCCTAGAGCAGAATAAACCTTAGTGGGGACCATGGGAGCTGGAGGGACCTTGTTCTTCTAAGAGGGAGGAGGTACATTCCAGCCAGTCACAGGCTCTCTTCCCAGTGGGCTGTTTAAAGTGAGGCTGGGGCCTGCCTCATGCCTGGTACCCAGTATAACCAGCCGTCGTCAGGTGACCATGCCGTCTGTTCCCCGGCCATTGCTCTGTAGGGCGTCCCGGTCTGTAAGTGTTCCCTGCTGTGACCTGGGGAGTGTGGGTGCTCTGAGGCTGGCTGCTGCTTGTCCCTTTTACTTTCACAGGCTTGGAGGGAGGAAGACAGGAAAGCCCAGAGCGGGTACTGATGATCGCGTGTATCTTTCTGGTCTGTCTCAAGAAGATAGGAAGGTCATCCACTCTCCTTCCCAAACTGCTTCCTGCCAGCGAACCAGGGAAATCAGAGTACGTCCCAGCCCTGTGCTCCGAAGTGCCTTGGTTGGAGGCGGCCAAAGCAAGTGGTTCCCGCGGCCCCAGGAAGGGAGAGCAGCCTTGGCTGCCTGCATGGCCCTTCTTGGAGCCGTTGGAGGGTGCGTCATGGCTGCAGTGGCAGCGCATGGAGGGAGAAGTGAGCCGGGCAGAGCTGGAGGGACCAGAAAACGTTCCTTTGTGTGGCATCTTCTGGCACAGAGGACCTTGTGACAGAACAGGCAGGCATCCTGCAGGCTTGACAGCTGCCACTGGGTACTGAAGCTTCCCTGCTTCCTCCTGGCAAAACCGATACTCCAACCCCAGAGGCCCTTTGTGGAGGAAAGCAGGCAGCAGACTGGCCTGGGCGTGACTGATAAGTGGCGGACTGATAGCCCCGGGCCCCTGTCATTTTGTCATGGTGGCTTGTAGCCACTCTTGCCCCACCGGGCCCTGTCTTGTTTGGGAAACAGCCCTGAGGAGGCAAACCCATGGTTGTGGCAGATTTGCAGGGTCCAGAGGCCTGACCACTAAGGCGGAGGTGTCCACCGGGCACTGCGTCAAGCCTTCAGACGATGCCCTTTTCTGCCTTGGCTCCAAGTTGCTGTGGGGAGTAGACATTTGAACCCAGAGCAGTCCTGCTTCCCTAACCTCGTGGGTTTTCCAGGACTAGAGGAGGCTTTCCTGCTGCTGGTGGTGGTACCCCCAGACCAAGGAGCTAGGCATCAGCCCCCCATTCCAGCTCAGTGCCTGTGTGCAGGGGACCCCGACCCCCACGTCCTGCGGCTGCAGGGACTCTGCTTCCCACCCACCTGCCTTACAGATCTGAGCCGGCAGGAGTAGCCCCAGGCTCACCACCGCGCCCTCCCCTTTCCCAGCCCTGCCCGCTGCCTCCAGCACAGAACCAGCGCTTGGCCCCTCTCTGCCATGCCTGGCCCATTGGTGTGGGGCTTTCAGTCTCCCCAGCCACCAACCCAGGCCAAGTCCCACAGCCCCTGAAGAGCCAAGAACACTTGGACTGTTATTTGATTTCCACTTTTCCCTGGATTGTTGTTTTTCTTTCTAAGTAGATACTAGCCTCTTTGCTTTGGGGGAAACATCTGGGGGGCGGGGAAGAGAGACTTTAACCCTAGTGTGGGGACAGGGAGGCCGGAAGACAGGCAGCCTCGGTTCATGGGGCCCTGCCCAAGGGGGCTGCTCCTGGTGCTGCTCGAAGAGCCATTTTGGGCTCCGCATTCCAGTGACATGGCAGAGGGCCAAATGCCAGGCGGGTCCTCCACCGGCCTCACCACCGTTGCCCTCTTCCCACCCACCCTGGGTTTAGAGTCAGGCCCTCGTGCTTCCGGTGCAGCATTCACGAAGGTTTGGGAGCTCACGGGATTCCAGTTGGGCCCAGGGAGGAGTACCTGGGTTTAACTCTGAGCTGAGAACACCTGGCAGTGAGCGGGCCAAGCCCCTCACAAGAGGTGGCGGCTGCCACGCTGATGCGGACACAGATGGGCAGAGCTGCTGCGGGTCCCACCACATCCTGAGGGGCACGAACTGGCGGGGCAGACTCTGCCCCGAGCCACCTCCCCGGGGAGGAAGCAGGCACACCCAGGGCTCTGCATTGATCCTGGGGAAAAGGGAGGCTCAGTGGGCAGGCAGCCGTCCTCTCCCGAGCCAGGACAGTCAAATCCCCTGTTTAAGCCCCCTGAATAGAACAGGCTTAAACTAACTTGCCGAGTAAGCAGGCACTCGGGGCCCCGCTGCCTGCTTAGCAAGCAGGGAGGAAAGCACTTGGAGCAGAGAGCTGCGGCCTCGGCCCGTGTCCCTGCGGTGCCGGGCTCCCAGCAGTAGCAGGGAGAGCCCACGTTTAAACAGGCTGTCTGGAGACCGTGACCATGTTGCACCCCTGTGAGCCTCTCTGTTCGAGGTAGACGGTGGCTCTCAGGAGACCCTGGCTGCCCCGCACCCCCCACCCCTCTCATCCGTGGCTGGCACCACTCACCTAGGAGCTCAGATCCCGGGGAGCCCAGCAGCCTCCTGGGCCTGTCCTCAGCCCAGCCACCACCTCTTCCTTCCTTCTCGAATGCCTCTTTCCTGACCCGCTGCTGGGTGCCTTCCTCAGAGCGTGTGGAACTCCTGGCTGGTGACAGCCAGCTGCTGTCTCGGCCTCAGCTTTTCTGTTGTTGGTCGTCCTGGAGATCCAAGTGTCAGATTACACAGAGCGGCCACCAAAGTGAGGGAGGCAGTGCCACCTCCGCCCCTGCCCAGGCGAGGGAATCCCTGCTGGGACTCCCGCGTGCTGCCCTGCCCCTGGGAGGTCTGGCTGCGAGAGCCGCCTCTTCTGTTCTCCTCTTCCTCTCTCTCCCTCCTGGCGGGCGTGTGCTAAGCCGTCGCGGGCTGCGCCTGGGCTGGGGGGTGATAAACGCGGAGGTCGGCTCTCTTGTTCCCTGGCTGAGATGCCCTCTGGGAGGCTTCACCTGAGCGGCTGGGGGCGGGGCACAGCGCTCCCAGCTCTTTGGTCCCCTCCCTCCCCTCAGGAGTACTTTGGGCCCATCCCCCCGGCCCCCCCTCTGGCGACTCCCCAGCTGGTCCCACCCTTTGGCCCCTTCCAAGAAAGAAAGTGAATAGTGGGGAGCTGCCGGCCCATCCACAAATCCAGCCCTCTGGGGAGGCATCTTGGGAAAGAACTTGGGGGTGACTTGAGAGTAGCCTGCTTGCCTGGGGGGGCGGGAGGCTGCCTGGTGCCTGGTGTTCCCCAGCCCCGGGAGGAGGGAGGACCCTGCTGATGACCTGTCTTTCCAAAGCGTGTTTGCTGGTGTTTGCTGGGGCCATCTCTGAACGCCTGGCCCCGGCCAGCAGGGACGGGCTCTGGAGCTCAGTGGCTGGCAGGGCCCTTTGACATTTGGTTGGTTGTGCCACCCCAGCAGCCTGGGCTGTGCCTGGAGCAGGACGGGAGCCGACCCCAGCCCGCATCTGTGCGCTCTCAATGGAGCCCTTTGAGTGTGAGCACAAAACCCCAGTGAGTCCGGGCTTGAGGGAGGGTGGGGGGAAGGAAGCCAACCGTGTAGCCACACCACTCGGATGCCAGAGGCTGGACAGGCGGCCACTGTGCAGATGCTCAGACTGGCCATGGAGGGAGTCCCTCGGTGATTTAGGAGCGGCCAGAACAGTGCCCTCTGGTGGCCGCCTGGGCCCCTGTGCCGTCCCCTGCCACTGGAAGCTGCATTCTCGAGCGAGCGGGGCAGCCAGACCCCACTTCCTAGGGACTGTGGAACCATCCGCTCTTGCTCCGGTTCCTGCCCCTCGGGACCTCAGCTGCTCAAAGTGTTTCCTGAAGTTCTAGGCGGTGCTCACGTTGAGCGGCATTCTGGTTAGAGAGTGACGCCCCCTATTCTCGTCCCCAGGATGTGGCGCCTGGACAGCCCTGCCTCTGCCGCCCTCTCAGGCTCCCCTACCCTGTGCCACATTCCCGCGGCAGGACTGGCCCTTGGCAAGGGTCCTGAGAGATCTCAGGGGGCCTCTGCAGCTGAGGTCCTGAGAGATCTTCCGGGGGCCTCTGCAGCTGCCCCAGGGACCAACTGTGCCCCCATCCTGGGAGTCATAAGAGAGACAGCTGCAGTCTGGTACCGCAGCAAGGGGGCTGTGGCAGGGTTGAGGCCCCGGAAGATGTGATGAGACTCCTTCCCAGGCTGGTCTCCTCACTGCCCTCACCAATGAGCAGCGTACGATGCCAGCTCGCAGAGCTGCTTGTTTCTGCTCTCGGGCAGTCCCCCAGGTCCGGGCTGCATATGCGGGCAGTCTTCTTAGGGACAAAGAAGGTCCACAAGAGATAGAAGCAAGGCAGAGTGCCGAGGCGGGGGTAGGGCCACCTCCGTTCCCTGCCTCCGGGAAAGAGTCCTAAAGAGGGCTCACTGTGCGCCGGGTGCCGTACATGGTGCCTCGCGGCGCCATCTCCCCCAGCCCTGCTCGGCCAGGGGAGCCAGTGCTCTTCCTGCACCATTCGACAGGCCAGAATGTGTGGGCTTTGAGCCATCCAGTGCTTCCCCTAAAGAGGAGGCCTCAGCAGCAGAGTCAGCGTCTGTACCCAGGGCTGAAGCTGCTTCTGGGGCACCCCGCCGCCAGAGGGCACGGTAGAGGCCAGGAGGCCAGGACCTAGAGGAGCAACCTGTAGCAAAGCAGGACAGAATGGGGACCACACCCTGGCTCCACTGGGTATGTGCTGTGACCTTGAGAAAGCTCCTTCACCTCATCCTTGCCATCTGTAAGATGGGTGACCAAATGATGCCTTCCCAGGCTTGGACAGCATGAGGTGTGTGAGATACTGAGTGTGGAACCCACATGTAGGGCTCCTCAGCCAGAGTGTAGGGAGTGGGGTGATGAACGCTGGCCTGCCTGGGTCCCTCACCCCTGACCTCTGCTGTGCTGCCTCCACCAGGTGCCGCCATGCTGCCATTGCCAAGTACTTTGGGGATGCGCCCCCCGCCTGCACCAAGGGCTGTGACCACTGCCGGGACCCTGTGGCCCTGCGGAAGCAGCTGGAGGCCTTGGAGCACAGAAGCAGCTGGAACAAGACTTGCATCGGGCCTTCTCAGGGGAATGGCTTTGACCCTGAGCTGTATGAAGGAGGCCGCCGGGGCTATGGGGGTTTCAGCAGGTGAGGGGCTGTGAAGTCAGGGGCCCCCAACCTGCAGCAGATAGGCCAGCATCCTCCCCCTCGAGCCAAGGCCAGACCAGAGGCACTGTAGTGCCATCGTCCATTCCCTGTTCCCGTGGACCGTGTCGGAGCCAGGAGCCTGGTGTTCCTCCTACCTGCCGGGCTGTCAAAGACAATAGTGCCCCACCGGAGAAGTGTACCAGGAGAACAGAGCCCAGGCCCAGGGCTGCTGACACCTAGCCTGTCCCCTAGGTACGATGAAGGTTCTGGAGGCAGTGGGGACGAGGGCAGAGACGAGGCCCACAAGCGGGAGTGGAATCTCTTCTACCAGAAGCAGATGAGCCTACGCAAGGTGAAGGGGATGGGGGCCAGGGACCCCCATTTCCAGTCGCTCAGCCCCTACCCTGGTGCTGGACTGGGGCCTGTCCTAGAGCTGAGCAAGATGCCTCATAGTCCCTTCCTGTCATCTTCCAGGGCAAAGACTCCAAGACAGAAGAATTTGTACCTCCAGGTCAGTACAGAAATGTCCCTGGGAGCTTCGGGGCTATTCTTAGGGTATAATGTCTCATTGGGGGCTGGGAACTCCAGAAGCAGAGGTAGAGTGGAAGGACCCACCCTCTTCCCCCCAGATGAGGACTGTCCCCTGAAAGAGGCTTCTAGCAGGAAGATCCCCCGCCTCACTGTGAAGGTAAGCTGTGGACAGCACCTCATACCGGCCCCTGTGCCTGCTTCCCCAACCCTGGGCTTGAGTGACCAACTTGCCTCCCTTGTGTAGGCCCGGGAGCACTGCCTGGGGCTTCTGGAGGAGGCTCTGAGCAGTAACCACCAGGCCACAGGTCCCACCCATGGGTGAGTGACCCGGGTCAGAGGGGCCAAAGAGGCTTCCCCAAACTCCTATTCTTGTAGACCATGAGAACCCCCATCCCTCCTGGCTTATTTGGGCCCCCCTCCCCCAGATTGTGACCCATCCTTCTCCTAGTGGTTGCAGATCTTGCAGTCCCAGCGGGGGGCAGGCTTCACCAGGACTGAGGGGCTGCCAGTGCCTGCTGGACAGTAAGCCCCAGGGTGCCTGGGGTCCCGGTGGGAATCCCTGTGCCCAAGTTCATGCCCGCCAGGCCCTGAAGTCCTCTCCAGGGACCCCAGGGATAATCCCAGGAGCTCCACAGAGAGAGGGCTCAGGCCCGCCTGATGCCTCATGCTCATTCCTATCCTCAGACCTGATCTCCAGGCCAAGGCTGTGGAGCTGGAACATGCCATGTTCCGAAATGCCAAGGCAGCCAACCTATACAAGGCCAGCGTGCTGAAGAAGGTGGGTGCTGGGCAGGGCATGCTTCTGGGCTGGGGTGGGAGAGACGGCCCCTCCAACCTCCCAGGCTGTCTGCCTGCCCCCTGCCAGGAGGCCACTTACACAAGGGCAGCCTGACCTCCCTTCTTGGCCCGCTGGAGGTGTTTCGAGCCAGCCCCGTCAGGACTAGAACTTGGCCAGTGTCCAGTTACCTGCAGCCACAAGCCCCAGAAGCCCACTTTGGAAAGCCTGGGTTGGGGCTCTCAGGAGCTAGTGGGTGTCACGGCGTCCCTGCCTGTCCCTGACTCAGGTGGCTGAGATCCACAGAGCCTCCAAGGATGGGCAGCTCTACGACATGGGAGATGCTGCCAGGAGCTGCAGTGAGCCGGCCCGGCCCCCAGAACCCACCGAGTATGACATCCTGCCGGCCTCCCAGGTGTACTCGGTGAGCAGCGTCCTGCCATCCACCCCAAACCTGGGTCTGGAAAAGGCATCGTGTCCTTTGTCCTCAGCCAGGGCATGGCCACTTGCCCTCTCCTGGCACCACAGCCCTGGCCCGGGGCACCCCGCAGCAGGCCCTCCAGCTTTCCTCTGCAGCCCCCACCGCTCCTCTGTCCTCGGCCTGACCCTCAGCCCGCAGTGTCCTGCCAGCTGTCCCTCCGCTCCTCCCGAGAGCCCGCCAGCTCAGCCGTTCCGGACCAGCCAGGGAGTACACTCAGAACCTCTCTCTTCTTCACAGCCCAAACCCAAGCGGGTGGGAGCTGGTTTCCCCAGAGGCTCCTGCTCATTCCAGACGGCCACTGAGCTGATGCAGAAGACGTGCGCTAAGGAGCGAGCCCCCCAGCCCATGCGGGGAAGTGAGCAGGGGCCCCCCAGCCAGCCCTGTGGCCTCCAGCGGGAGGGCTGTAGTGAGCCCCTCCCCGGGCCCGGAGGAGAGGCCCCTGGAAGCAGTGCTCATTGTAGGAGGTCCTCCCCTGAGACGCTGAAAAGCTCCTCCACGAAGGCCGGTGCCAAGGCCCGGGCCAGCAAGCAGCAGCAGCTCCTAGCTGCGGCGGCCCTCAAGGATTCACAGAACATCGCCCGCTTCTGCCAGAGGGCCAAGAGCCCATCTCCCCTCACCTCAGCCCCAGGGGCAGAAGGTGCCGGCCCTTCCTGTGAGGGAGTGCGGGGACCCCCAGCAGCCCCAGAAAAGTGCTCAGGAGAGGAGGATGGAGCCCTGGGGTGTTCAGCTGTGCCCTCCCAGACCAAGGAGTGCACCAGGGAGAGGCCAAGGTAAGGGCCCTGATGGTTCTGAAATTCTCTGCCTCTTTGCTAACTGGGCCTTTGAAGCTCTGGCCGTTCCTAGGGTGCGCTCTGTCGGGCCGGCTGGCTGGGGGCGCATCCGGCGGCGGGAGTGCTCATGCTTGCTCTCCCCTCTGGCCAGAGCCTGCACACTCAGAGACCAGGACCCCCCTGAAGGCCAGCCCACCCCCTCAGAGGAGACACACAGGGGCAAGCGGTCCAGACCCCAGCAGGTACTGATAGGGACAAGGCCTCAGGGGAGGAGGCCTGCAGAGCAGGTCAGTATCTGTTCTCTGGATGAGGGATTTGGGGAAAATCGTCTCTTCTTACATCCCAGGGCCTAGACGGGACAGGCTAGAGGGGGCCCAGTCTTCCAGAATGAGGGAAGGGGCCCGTGACGGGGAGCCCAAGAGTGACTCTCCACTCTGGTCCTGCACAGGAGAACCCAGAGAACCAGGCTCAGAAGAGGCCTCGCCCCTCAGCTAATGCCTCCATCTTAGCCGAGGCCAAGGACAGCATCTCGGCCAGCAATCCGGGCATCTTGAACCCCACAGTGCAAGATTCCTGCCTTCTCCCAGCCCCTGGCATCTCCCTCAAGGAGGCCGCAAATGTTGTGGTCAAATGCCTGACTCCTTTCTACAAGGAGGGCAAGTTTGCATCCAAGGTAGTGTAGGTGGGTGGGTTCTACCCTCCCCTGGGCCTGGGACACTTGGGTACCGTGGGGGCAGGGAACAGAGCCAGAGGACAAAGCAGGCTAGCCCCGGGATTGGCTGCCTCTCTCCCTGGCGTCTGCCTTGCCCCTGGGTCATGGCTGAGGGCCTCTGGTGTGGGGGGCAGGGCGGGGGTCCGTGCTCTTTGCTCCTGTCACCTTCTGCCTCCAGGAATTATTTAAAGCCTTTGCCCGCCACCTCTCACACTCGCTGACTCAGAAGGCCTCTCCTGGAAGGAGTGGTGAGTGCCCGCGTCACCAGGCCAGGAGGTGTTTGCGGGGCTTGGTGGCAGGGAGGGGACTGGCCCTCACTGAGGTTCCCCCTTCCCGAATCTGTAGTGAAGGAAGAGGCCCAGGATTTCATCAAGCAGTTTTTTCACGGTCGGGCCCGGTGCGAGAGTGAAGCTGACTGGCACGGTCTGTGTGACCCGCAGAGATGACCAGCTCCTACCCGCTAGGGCCGGAGTGCCCCCCCCCCCGCCTCAGCTGTGGGCCAGCCTGGGCCTCACTCAGGAACAGGGAGGGGGGAAGCCTGCAGCCGTCAGGGGCACCAGCTTTGCTCAGGGTCCGTATCTTCCAGCTATATTTGGAGATGGCCCCCGTCACCTCCCAAATCAAGGCCAAAGGCTGGAACTAGCTACTTTCTGCTTGCAGGGTCTGAGGGCTTCCTCCTCCTAGCCTCCCTGCCTCTCTCAGCTGGGTTTTCTGAACCAGATCCCCAGATTAGAAGGGGGTGGGGTGGGGGTGGTGGCTGCTGCCAGAGGAACAGGAGGAAAGAGTGGTCCCTCTGCCTCTTGTGGTTGAATTGTAGGCCAGGGTGAGGCCACCAGTCCGAGGCCCGGGGCCACTTCAGGAAGAGTCCTGCTGGCCTTGGGTTCTGGGCCCACTAGCCCTTTCCCTCATGATGCCAGCTTCCGGCCTGGCCCCAGGTGCAGAGCTCGGGAGCAGGGGAGCAGCTGGGCCCTGCTCTCTGCTCAGGTCCTGGTCAGGAAGGCTGGGCTGGACAGAGACTTAGCAGAAAAATAAAGTCCTGTTGGATTTGAGACACACACGCCCACAAAACACGGCCTTTTTCTCTTGGGAGTTTTATTTTCTAACTGTTTGCTTCCCCCAGGCTTATGTGGTTCGTGCTGATGTTGGGCCCGGGCCTGGGGCCGGCTGGATATCCCCCTCGCCCAGCTTGGGCAGCATCAGATGCCCAAGCCCGTTCCTGCAGCCCCCACTCCAGCCCCTGCCCCGGGGGAAGTCCTGGTGTTGTCCTTCTCAGTTGATATCACTGGAGCAGCTCCTGCCCCGTGGCCCCCACTGTGGCCAGCAGCGCTGTGCTGTGGCAGGTTCCAGAACAGTCAAGTGGGAAAGTCCCAACCAAAATGGCCTGACAGCACCAAGGGAGACCTTCCCAGTCGGACTGGTATGTGGGAGGGGCCCCTTCCTCATCTCCTCCCCTCCCCCATTCCTCTTGGGTGAGGCTGGCCACTAGTTGGGAGCAAGGCTGCTGTCCCTCAGGAAGGCGATGGTGTCCTTCAGCTCCTGGGCCTGCCCGGGGAACAGGCCTGTGAGGACGGGGCCCCCCAGTGTGCCCCCACCTCTGCCCTGGGCCTGCAGCAGCCCGAGCCATGAGCATGGGGCCCGGCTCCAGGCATGCCGGGCCTGGGTCAGGCAGCCCCCGCCTTGCCAGGGTGTCCTCAGAGGCCCCGGCCACTCACTTTCGGCAGCTCAAACCAGATGGTCCGGGGGCTGTCAGCAGAGCCGTAGTTGAGCTCCAGGCCAGGGGCCCCCTTCTTCTCCAGGGGGCTCAGCAGGTGGAGCTGGTGCAGCTCCTTCAGGGCGATGGAGCAACACGGTTTCTGGGGCGGCAGAGACAGCAGAGCTTGGCCCCTCTCCGGGGAGGGTCACCATGGGGGATGGGACAATGGCGCAGGGGCGCTCGGACCAGCACGGGGGCAGGGTCCCGGCCCACCTGGCTGAAGGGGTCCAGGAGGAGGAGATGCCGGCGGTTCAGGCCCAGGAGGCTGGGTCCAGGCAGGGCCGGTTGACTCACCCGCAGCACCACGTAGACAGTGCAGCCGAACAGGGGCAGGCGGCTCACGGCCTCTGGGAGCGGAGGGGCCGGGGTGGGCGCTCTGGCCGTTCACGCCCTGCCACCTGCCCGAGTGGGCCCTGGGTCGGCCGGGCCGGGCTGGGCAGGTAGGGAGGCCTCCTCAGGCCCTCCACGCCTTCCCTTCTGGGCCCCTTGCCTCGGCCCCTGCGGCTCCGGAGCCCCGGACCCACCAATGAAGCTGATCTGGGCTTCTTGGGAGCTGCAGCCTCGCAGCTGCCTCAGCTCCTGGTACATCAGGTTCTTCACGGTGGACGCGTTCACTTGGGACCGCAGCGGCTTTGGCAAGTAGTCCGACAGGTCTCGCCTAGGACACAGAGTGGTCGCTCGAGGCTGGGTATACAGCAGGCGCTAAATGAATGGGCAGGGGCTACTGTGGGTGAGATTGGGAATCCAGATTTAGGAATGAGGCATGGGCCCTGGCTACGAGGAGCTCGGTGGGCGGTGGGGGGTCAGGTGTACGTAGCCTCCACAATGCCAGGCCCGTGACGTTAAGGTCGTGAAGGGTGCAAGTCGAGTGGCCTTGGCACTGGAAGACTGGGTAGGGGCTGGGGAACTGAGGGAGAGGCCCGTGGCGTATGTGCGGAGGTGGGCCCCAGCAACAGCAGGGACCAGGGGCGGTAGGAGGTGGGGGGCCGTGTGAGCACTCACTCCGCCAGGTGGTCCCCTTGGGCCATGCTGCAGTGCTGCAGGGCGGCCAGCCTGGCGAGCTGAGCACTGGCCTGGGGGGTCACCAGCAGCTTCCCCTGCAGGTAGTCCCGCAGCACCTGAGGGGGAACGGCAGTGAGGGGAGGGAGGCCTGGAGGGCCCCTACCCGGGCAGGGCTTCCTCTAAGCTGCAGCCCGGGGTCCAGCCACCAGCTGGTGGGGGCCGCAGGGGGGTGGCAGCTGACCTGCATGTAGTGGGTGGTGGTGTAGGTGGGATTATTGAAGTGCAGCGGGGTCTCCCAGCTGAGCCGCCGGCTGTGCAGGCTCACGTCCTGATCCACCACGCTGTTGAGGTACTCATGGGGCCACAGGGGCCGCACCAGCTCGCCTGAATGGGGAGCCCAGGTCCACAGCCCGCCCTGACATCCAGGGCCAGTCCTGCCCGCAGTCCTGGCAGCCCCAGCCCGGAAACCTGCCCCGCTCGTAGGCATACAACCGGTAGGTAAGCTGCCTCCTGGAGTCCAACCTGTCCCCCCTTCTTCCCCAGGCGAGGGGCTCACCTTCCCTTTTGATGAAGAGGGCAAATTCCTGCACCTCCTGGGGGTCTGTGATGCCCATTTGCTGACACAGGTCCTCCAGCACTTCCGCTGCCACCTGGGGCATGTGGACAGGGCCGTGCATGGTGGGGGTGTGAGGCTGGTGTGCAGGGGGTGCCCAGAACTGATGCCACAGCTTTCTTGTCTCTCCCCAGCCCCTCTCCTCTGGCCCCACGCTCACCGTGAAAGTCCGGATGCTGGTTTTGTAATCCATACCCCCCGGCAGGTGGATTAGAAGCGAGCGGACCTCCTGCCCTCTCTGCCAAGGCAGGTTGTAGGGTCAGCCCACCAGTGGCCAGAGCCCCCAACTCCCTGTCCCCACCAGGGAGTCCCATAATGCCCAACCTCCTGTACCCACCCCTGCCATACCAGGAAAGCCTGAGTCTCGCCCGGGGAGGGCAGCCGCAAGCGGCCCCCGTATTTGACTGTGCGCTGGAGGTGCTCTTGGCTTCTCCGGGCCAGCTCTGCAGAGGGGAAGCGGGCCGGGATCACTGGCATCTCCAAACCCCTCCCCAAGCTGCCGAGACCCCAGCCTGGGAAGTCCCTCCCATAGGCACCTTGGCTCGGGCCCGAGTCCTGCAGAAACTTGGTCACGTAGGGCATCAGCGTGGCTGACGGGGGGAAGAAGCCGGTCAGGAGACTGAGGAAGCTCCAGCCGCGGACACAATGTTCCCTGCAGAGTGGAGAGTGTGGGCTTCAGGCCGGCAAGGTCGGGCCCCTGCGCCGGCTGCCCTCCGCCACTTCCCCCAGCCCCGCATACTCACGGCTGAGGATGTCTGGTCACCTGCTTGATGACTTGGCAATAAATCTCATCCCTGAGGTTCTTGTTCTCCCGGCACAGCTGTGGGGACCGAAGAGGGGGGCAGGGTGACACAGGAGCTGAAGTCGGAAATCCCACTAATGGGGCGCCTGGGTGGCTCAGGGGGTTAAAGCCTCTGCCTTTGGCTCAGGTCATGATCCCAGGGTCCTGGGATCAAGCCCCGCATCGGGCTCTCTGCTCAGCGGGGAGCCTGCTTCCCCCTCTCTCTCTGCCTGCCTCTCTGCCTGCTTGTGATCTCTCTGTCAAATAAATAAACAAAATCTTAAAAAAAAAATTTAAAAAGAAAAGAAATCCCACTAACAGCCATGGCTGGGGCCACCTCTCGGTCTTGGACACAGCTGTGTCCAACGGATCACTCTCTCAGTCACTGTCTTCATCCGCTTACGGGCTGTGCTCAGCCCTGTCTTCTCTGCTGGCTCCCCTTATTTCCTTGACCTCCAGGGCCTCAGTGCCCTTGGGCCTCAGTCTACACGCCCTGCTGATCTCAGCTGTGCCCACTGCTGATGACTACCAGTGCTGACCTCCAGCCCAGACTTCTCCCTTGGACCCACGCCCCCCACTTGGAAGTCTGGACTGCACACTTCCTATGTCCAAAAGACTGTCCTGCACCAAGCCAGACCTGCTCCTCCCTTAGGCCCCCGTATCGAAGACGGTCTTTACTCTGGCCAAGGCCTCCGTGACATCCGTGGCACCTCTCTGTCACACCCCACGTACAATTCATAGCAAACCCTGTTGCTCTGAGTCTTTTCCCCTCAGCTGCTACCTCTGGGCCTGGCCCGCACCATCCCTCACCTGTGATCATTGCAATAAGGTCCTCTGGCACTTATCTCCCCCTGGGAGGGGTGGCAAACTTGCGCCCCCTGAAAAGGTAAGCCAGTCGCTCTGCAAACCCCCTTGAGTGACTGCCCACGTCTCTTGAGAAATCAGAGTCCCAACAGGAACCTATGATGGCCTGCCGTGACCTGGACCTGCCGACTCCCTCCAGCCTCATCCTCCACTCTGTCCTGACTCACTGGGCGCACCGGCCATGCTGGCCTTGCTGGTGCTAAGGCCCACCATCACCAGGACTGTCGCCCCTGCCCCCCTCTGCCTGCAGGTGATGCCCCCAATGCACACATGCCTCTCCCCCCAGCTTCCCTCAGATCTCTGCTCCAGGGTCGCCTTGTCACCAAGCTTCAGCATTCTAGCAGCCCCTTCCCCGCTGTATCGGTCTCCGCAGCACCTTTTACTCTTGAACACATTGCGTCGTGGTTTACCAGAAGTCTCCTCTCACTAGCTTGTAAGCCTTGTGGGGACTGAGCCTGCTTGGTTCGCTGCCGTGCCCCCAGCATGTACTAGGTGCTCAATAAATACTGTTGGATGATCTGAATGACTAGTGGCTAAGGGGAGGGGGAAGCCACTCAGGCCCAGGCAGGAAGACAGGAACAGACCCTCAAGGCACACACAGTCTCCCCAAAGCTTTCAGCACATGCTTACCCTCAGCAGGTCGTAAAGGAGCTCCATCTCGTTCCTGCCCCGGAGCTTAGACAGGTCCCCCATGAACCGCATCAGAGCTGCAGGATGAGAAGCTTGGGGAGCTGGGTTGGGGGCCTGATTTTGGCCCATGCTGTCGCTAGACAGGGCTTTCCCTGTCATCTCATGCCTTGCTCCCCAAAATGCACGCGAGCCAGGCAGAGCAGAGCAGGTCTCCACTTTACCGATGAGGAAACAGGGCTCAGAGAGGTTCCGTGGGCACCTGTGGCTACACACAGCACATAGCCAGCTGGACAGAGCGCTGCCTTCCTGCACAGACTCCATGCAACCCACCACCCCTTGGGAGTGAGTAGAAATAGTGAGGCCTATGAGAGGTTCTGCAAACCACCAGTGAGCTTCCCTGAGTTGACAAGGACAGAAGGCGACCTGGCACCCAGGTCTGAGGCATCGCAGATAGGGGGACACAGGATGCTATGGTCACTTACTCTGGAAGATTTCCACAGCCTGCCTGTTGGCATCCTCATCGCTGAGGCTGATAAGCGATTCTTGTATGGGAGCCTGTGGCCAAAGAGACTGGGTTGTGAGTCTGGGATCCATAGAGGCCAGAAGGCAGGTCCACTGGCCCGGCTCTTCCCCACCTGTCCCCCTCACCTTGGTGTACTGCACCAGGCTGGCCATGGCCTCCTCCTCAGCATCTCCATGGGTATGGTCTGGCCTGAGGGGGCAGAAGGAAGGACAGCCCTGCTTGCTCAGCCCTCCCGCTCCCATCACGGGTTGTGTAGGGAGGGTGCTAAGAGCACTGGCCTGGTGGCTCAGAGCAGGAGGGCTGCTTTAGGGAGACCGAGGATGGCCAGGCAGAAGGGCGGGCCCGGGGCACTCACAAGGTCTGGGGCTTCCGGAAGTAGTACAGGGCAAATTCCTGCATGGTGTAGGTGTGGGAGTCCACGGACAGAGAGATGTAGGCTACAGAGTCATTGCTGCGTGCTTGGCTCCGGGGACGGGCATGGTGCTGAGAGCACAGGAGATCTCATGCCACCGAGGGCCCGCTGGCCTGTCCAGAGCCCCCCGCCCAGGCCCCCGCCCCGCCCGAGCCGAGAGCAGCAGGCAGAGCACACCACCAGAAGCCAGGGACGGCCAGAGGCATTTATTGAGCTTTATTCTAGGGCAGCACTCAAGTAAGCGCTGGGAGGGGACAGGAAGGGGGCACCGCCCAGCCCCTGCCCGCAGGGGGCTCACACTCTTGCTGGGGAGACAGACATCTGGAGAGGGCGGCATCGGGCCGAGCGCTGCCCGCCAGGGAGCAGGTGGTCCTGGCCGCTCAGGGGCAACCGAGCCCTTTCCGTCCTCGAATCCTAGTTAGGCTTCGTGTCCGCCTCTCCCGTCTTCCTCACCTCCGCTGCCCTCTCCCACTGAGCCAGCCCCGGCTCTCGGGGCTGCAGCCGACTCCTGCGCCGGCCACACCTCTCTGGTGAGAAGGAAGAGTCTGGGGCGGCAGCCGGCTGAACTATGTTGGCAGGAAAGAGTCCGGAACGGCCCCCGGTGGAGCCAAACTGCCAGCCTGGAAGGCACCCAAGGACAGCGTCTCACCCACCTGGCCCCTCGGCCCTTCCACGGCTCTGCCATGTGCTGCCCTCCCCGTGCCAGCTGCCCTGCCCGCCCCCGGGGATACCGGGCTCCAGCGTGGCCACCGGCAGCAGCTTGATGAGGTCCCCACGGTGGAAGCTGAGGAGGCTGTGGTCATCCGTGATGTAGCTTCGCAGGGCGATGACGTAGCCAGAGTCCTGCAGGCGGGAGGAGGGTGAGCAGGCCGGGGAGCCGACTGGCCCGCTCCCCCTGTTGGCCTCCCTCCCCACCCGGCCCTCCACAGTTCCAGGGACCCGGCCTGAACGCCCAGTCCCACCCCTGGCGCCTTGAAGAAGCTTGGCTGTCAGCCCCGAGACCAGCCAGACCAGATGTAGCCCCCCTACCCAGCCCCCAGCCCCGCTGCCCGCCAGCCCCCTGCCCGGCCTGCACTTGCCTTCTTGAGCTCACTCAGGAACAGCTCGATCATGGCCTTGATGGCGCTCGCTCGGGCCGTGTGCAAGACCAGCTGCTCGCTCTTCAGGGTCAGCTCCAGGGTGGAGCAGCCCGGGCACTCCACGCCCAGCAGCTCAGCGAAGCTATGCACCAGCGGAGAGGCATGAGCTGAGAGCCGGCTCGCCCCCGCCAGCCCCCCGCCAGCCCCCCACCCCGCGCCCCCGCCAGCCCCCGGCCCAGGTTCACCTGTATGAGCACAGAGTCTTCAGCTGGCTGGGGTGGAGACTGGGGCCTTTGGTCATCTTGAGCAGTCTCAGCCCCCGGTGGGACACGCCCAGCAGCTGCACGTCGCTGCCACTCTCGCCCTGCCCGGAAGGAAGGTGGCTGCGTCACAGACAGGCTCCTGGTCCCCAACACCATCTAAGACGCCCTGGGGCTCCTCAGGGCCGGTGCTGCTCTTTGTCCTCCCATTGGGGCCACCCCTGCCCCAGCTCTCATCCCTGCCATAAAGGCCCATGCTGAGCGAGCTGGGATCCAGACTGGGGAGCTGACGTCCCCAGCCCTATGTCCAGCCTCACTGACCGAGACAGGGAAAATTCGGGAGAAGTAATTGGCCCATTTGTCCCTAGCGGCCACCACGATGCGCTTCTTGACACTGTCCTCAGTGGTGCTGAGCGACTCCAGGCCGACCTCCAGGTCTCCTGTGGGCAGGAACGATCCCCAACTGTCTTCGGGCTCCGCCACGGGGACACCCAGGGTTTGCTCCCTCCAGACAGACAGACCTAGTCCCAGCACTTCAGCCCCCAACCCCCGGGTTGCCAGACCCTACCCAGCAGCTCTTTCATTTTGCTCCGCTCCTCCTGGGATATTCGGATGCAAGACTCGGCAAAGGTGTCCTTCAGGATCTGAGGGCAGAGCCAAGTGGTCACCACCAGATCCCTGCGCCAGAGCTCACCATGGAGGCAGCCACACATGGAGACGCTGGAGAGCCCCGAGGGCACGGGTGGAGCAGGGGGAATGTGGGGCCCCTGAGCCCGGGGCCACCCCCACCTCCCTCTAGCCTCCCGCGACCCACACTAGCGGGCTGCTGCTCCTGGGTCAGGTGAGATCAGTTCCCTGGAGGGGGAGCGGGGGAGACGGATACAGAATGTAGGGCAAGAGGCAGGATCCCGGGAGCATCCAGGAGCATCTGCTATGTGCCAGGGCCTGTGCTGGGGACAGCGTATGCTTTGTTTTGAACCCTTCACTGCCAGCCAGCAATGGTGCTTACTCTCAGGGATGTGCTGAGGACGAAGTAAATGAAGGCAGGGCTTGAGACCCAGCGCCTGCCCTCTGAGTGCCAGCTGTGTGCCCCTCGCACCGCTGGTAACCTGGCCCAGGGGCCGGTGTTGTGTGTCTGTCCCTGAGGCAGGTGGGCCAGGCTCTTACCTGCTCGCAGAGGAGCCTGAGGCAGTAGGGGTGGCTGAAGTTCTCCCGGGGGTAGAACACCTGTGGGAGAGCAGGGCCGAGGAGAAGAGATGGGGACGGTGCCCTGCCCTCCCCCCGCCTACCTCCCAGCCCTGCCTCCCAGACCGGGATGGAAACTCAGGCCTGATGAGGCGGGTCGTGGGAAGGCAGCCCCCGTGTGTGTGTGGGGGGGGGATGCTGGGGTCCCACCCGCAGCCTGCCGCCCCTCCTCAGCCCAGGGAGAGGCCTGACTGCGGCCCCAGCTTCGTGCCCACCTCCTTGCGCAGGAACAACCTCCAGGAGGGGTTGAGGTAAGAGAAGCACACACTGCCAGAGGGCACGAGCAGCTTCGTGGAGACTCCCTGGTCCTCCATGGGCTCCAACCGGCCTGGCAGAGGGAGGAGCCAAAGGGCTTCATCGAGGAGCTGCCAGAGCCAGAATGACAGGGACACGGGGACAGAAGACTGTCCCCCTCCCTAGGGCCCCATGAGGGCTCTGCCCGCTGGACCTTTGCTACCTCCCTCCTGCTCACATCCCATCTCCATCCTCCATTTCCAGCCCTCAGACTTTCCCTGCTGTCCTTGACCACGTCAGCAGGGCCACTAAGTCTGGAGCTGCCAGGATGCACAGAGGACAATACCCCAGGGCAGGCCCTCAAAGCCACATGGGCCCCAGAGTTACCTGGGCCCTGCCCGGGACAGGAACGCGGAAGCTGGGGCTCCTTGCCCATGGCTCCAAAGTCCGGAGCCCTGAGCACCTGACTTTATAGCGTTGCACACGGAAAGGCTTCTGGAAACCCTGCCCCACCCCCAGGGAAGCCCACCAGAGAGGGATAGAAGGGTCCTTACTGCGGGGCCCAGCTGAAGGGCTGTCTGGTTCCTCAGGTGGAGGCAGTGGGGGTGCTGGTGGAGGTGAGGGTGACTGGGGGGCAGGTGGAGTCTCGTCAGAGAGACCCTGGCTGTCCTTGATGGAGCTGGAGGGCCCGAACTGTGGTGGGAACTTGGGTTGAGGGGCCACGGCTGGTTCGGGGCCCTTCCCCGGGCTGGGGGATGGCGTCTGGGGAGGCACAAAGCATGCATACAGCTGGGTCTAGGGTTAAGGCCGAATTCACCCCAGAGAGCCCTCGAGGTGAGAAGCCATGCCCCGTTGGGCTGGGGCCTCACCGACGCAGGTGCGTGGGCGTCACTGATCCCCAACTTAGCCAGAGCCTCGTCCTTGGGATTGTTTTTCTTCAGGAAGTTTTTCGTGGGCTTCCTGAGAGAAGGAAGAGGCCCTGAGTCCCCAGAGTGACTCCCCGGGGAGGGGGCAGCCCCAGTCGCCCCCGAGGCCCACCTGGTCGGCTGCACGGGCATGGGCACGGGGCCCGGGCGGCTCTGGTACATGCGGATAATGTTCCGGATCTCCCGGCTCGGCTCGGCCCGCTGGTGGGGCACTGGCGCAGGGCAACCACCGGGCCCTGCCCCCCGGGCCACCAGCTTGGCCTCCGCCTCTTGTGCAGCTTTGGCCCTACCTTGTGTCGGGGGACTCGTCACTACGGGGGGAGGAGGGGGCGAAGGCGCTGACCAGAAGGAGAAGAAACACATGAGACCCCGTCCAGTCCCACAGGGCCCGGCCCTCCCCCACGGCCCCCCCACGGCCCCCCCCACCTCTTGGTTTCTCCTCGTCCTGCTCCTCGTCCTGGGAGATCTGCACCTTGGGTGGAGGCTTTGCTGTCTTCACCGTGATCTGCTGCTGCCCTGTACGTGCCCCAGGTGGCCCGATTACTCTCCCTGCTGTGCCCAGCGGGCTCCGAGACGGGCGACATGGACCCAGCGGAGGAGAGCGCGCCCCACGCGGCCCGGCCTGTGCGGAACCCGACCACCCCAAGCACCCTCACCCATCTTCTGGAAATAGTCCTGTTTCTGCTTGAAGCTCTTGGGCCGCTGGGGCTTCTCTTGGGGCTCCTGTGAGGTCTCCTGAGGGCAGGAAGGGGAAGTGAAGCGGCAGCCCCGCCAGCCGAGTTGCCCCTCCCCCAGCATCCCCTCCATCCCCCGACCCCAACCCCATCGCTGGGGCTCGGACCCCAGGCATCTTTTCCTCATCTTCCTGCTCCTGTGGGGACTCGTGGCCGCTCGGCCCTGGAACCTGCCGTCTCCATCCCAGACCCTGCCTGGCTCCTCGCCCTCAGACAGGCACCCACCAATTCCAGCTCCCGCTCTGGCTCCCGCCACAGGGCCAGGGGCTTCTTGGGCTTGGGGGCGACGGGTGGGGGTGAGGTCGGGGAAGCAGCTCCAGGGGCCTGGGCCTGAGGCTGAGCCTGGCGCCGGTGCCCCTGTGTCTGCTGCTCCAGCGACAAGGTCATGGCCTGGGTGGTCATCTGCTGGGCCTGAGGGGGGAGAGGCGGTGGGCCGGGTAAGAGCTGGTCGGGCTGGGCCCCGCAGACCTGGCCCCGAGAGGCGCTCTGAGGGTCCCGCCCACCCTCACCAGGAGGAGCGCCTGCTGGTTGATGAAGCTCTGCTGCTGGGCGGCCAGCTGCCTCGGGTCCACACTGGGAAGCAGGGGATGCGGTGCCGGTGGTGGCTGCGGCGGCATCACCATGGCTGCAGGTGGCATACAGGTGCCCAGCTTGCACGTGGCCCCCCGCCCGCTGGCCCCTCTGGGCCCCCTGGCAGGACGTCCCTTCCTCCAGCTCCTACCTGAGAAGGGACCTGACACCTGGCCTTACCTGGCATGGCAGGGACTGCGCCCATTGCTGGCATCATGGGCACAGGGGCAGGCACCATGGCTGGCTGGTATCCAGGCATCTGCATCATCCCTGGGTAAACTGAGGGAACAGGGCCCTCCTGCGTCAATCCTTATCTGGGCCCACAGACCCCCTCCCTCCAGCCCTCCAGCAACAAGGGTGCTGGCTGGAGCTCTGACCCCAGTTGCCTGGAGAGCCCGGTTGGGCTGGGGAGACCCTGGACGGATTGCTGGGCCCCGCACTCACCCATGGGGTAGCTGCCTTCCTGCATGGGCCCCACGGCGCCCCCTCCCTTCATGCGGCCGCTCAGAGCCCAGGCTTGCTCCAGATCCTGAAGGGACCAAGGCCACAGGCCAAAGAGTCAGAACTGGAGCCCCAGGAGAGATGGGAGAGGTGGCGGAGGTCCCGGGGGTAGGGGCAGGGACGGGGTCAGGTGTGTGTGCAGAACACTTACCCTGTGACCCAGAGAGAGGACTGGCTGGAAGAGGTGGTCCAGGAAGCCATCCAGGTTCCCTGAGTTCTGAGACTCCCCTGTGGGGCCAGAGGAGGGTTAGTGCCCCCCTGGGGTATGGGGCATCCGGCACCCCCATTCCCATCGCACGGGCAAACTCAATGTGCCCATTCTGGCCTTACCTGACTGGCTCCTGCTGGGTAGTGTGGGAGCTGGCCCTGGAGGTGGACCTGGCAGTGAGGGGGCCTGGATGCCAGGGGCAGGGGGGATGTCCTCGTCTCTGTGGGAGACAGTGGGTCCAGCTAAGGGGGTGCCTTGGATGGAGGTGGTGTCCAGGCTGAGGCAAGGAAAAGAAGCTGGTGTGGGGGGTCACTCCCATGGTGTGGGAGAAGGTGAGGTATGTGTGGGGGGGCTGGGCCTGCAGCAGGTCCTCTGAACCCTGGGATGTGATAGGGTGGCTCAGGAGGTCACCTATGACAGAACAGAGATAGGAACAGGCTAGGACAGGGGTGCTGGTCTGGCACCTACAAGCCATGGGGGGCAATGGGGTAGCTGTGGGGACTGACTGGGTCCCCCAGGTCCTCAGTCTGGCCGATGAGGTCCAGCACGAAGTCACAGCCAACCAAATCCTGCCAGGAGTCCCCGGAGTGCAGTGACACGGACCAGCCACGGGGGGGAAGCTCCAGTCCTCTGGGAGGGAAGAGGGGCGCTGTAGGGAGTGATCAGCCAGGAAGAGGGCCACCCCGAGGGTCCCCAAGGGGAGGCCGCTGGGGAAGGGGCAGAACCTGGGGGAGGAACTGGTTTCCTCAGACAACTCTCCTCTCTTCGCCCCTCACAACCTACTGCTTCCACATAGGGTCTGATGCTCTCATTTATTGACCTGTTTTGTTAGAATCTGGACCACAGACATAACCTCTACTCTTGCTCCCTATCTTGAACCTACGGTCTGGTCTGGCTCCTGCCCACTTACCCCTCCATGCCCCCACTCCCCGCCAATGTCCTTGGGGAGCAGGCTTTGGCCCTGGGTTTGCAGGAGGCCCCTGACAGAGAGTGGGCAGGGAGGATGAGGAGGGGACAGCGGTCTGTGTTGGCCACACTCCCCATCCCAGGGCCCCGTACCTGCTCTGCAGAATCCACCCGGCGAACTGCTCCCCTGTGGTCCAGGACTCCACCTCGGCGGAGTAGCACTCCTCTACAGGGACAGGCGGTGGGGGCCGGAGTGAGGGGCAGCAGGTCCTTCCAATGGGAAGGGGCAGCTGTCCCCATGGGGGCTCCCGGAGCAGGGCAGGACCCTATGATCAGGGTCCCGGGGGTGCCGCCAGAGGGCTGAGGCAGGAAGGGAGAGGCCCGAGCAGAAGGGGAGCATCACCATTGAAGGTAAAGATGTCCAGAGCCATGCGGCCTCGCCGCCGGCCAGCCGTCCACTCGAGCTGGGTTGGGGGGTGCGCCCGTGCCATCCCAGGGGCCAGGTGCACCTGCTCCAGGGCCCCCAGCAGCTTGTGCTGGCACAGCGCTGCCATGCCCCTGGGGGCCTGGTCGGACACAAATCTGTGGGGACAGCACAGGGCTGCAGTGGGGGTGGGCAGTCCGCCGATCCCACTCCCTGGGCCCCGCAAAGCAGGCCCCTTACTTCAGCAGTGGCTTCTGCAGGGGGGGCATGGGGGGAAAGGCGCTGAGCAGGATGGCCATGAGGGCCCAGCTGCGCTGGGTCTGCTGCTCGTCCGGGTTGTGCCAGATCTGGGCCACAAGCTGGCTGAAGATCTCGTCCCGCAGCCCCGGCCGGCGCTGGCCCTGCCGCACCAGGTACTCGCCCATGCTCTGCTCCTGCCAGGGCAGCAGGGACCCATCCCCCAGGAGCCGCAGCATCTGCAGACACGGAGCAAGGCGAGGGCAGGACGTGCCAGGGCATTCCCCCCCCCGCCCCCCGCGCTCAGCTGGACCCCAGGAGTTAGGGTCCAGCCCACCCTGTCCCCTCCCCACCGTGTCACTCACCACCTTGTTGATATCCAGCGCGTGCTGTGGGTTCTCCCCATGCAGCCGGGTCAGGGGCTCCGCCAGCAGCTGCCCAGGGCTGGGCAGGGCCGGCTCCTGCAAGGACGAGGGTGACAGTGTCTGAGCACATGCCAGTCTGGCCGGTCTGTGCCGACCTGTGGGAAAAGCCCCAGTGGAGCCCAGGGGAGCCTGCACCCTGGGAGACAGAGAGGGACTGGCGAGGAAAACCACCTTAGGGACACATCTCCGTGGCTCCTCCTGATTAGAAAATTGATGTCCATGCATATAGAAGACTCAGAAAACATGGAAAAAGATAAAGAATTTAAAAATCCATTACTATTTTCCTGCCAGTCATGACTACAGTTGACATTTTTTTTAGCCTGTCTTTCCAGTCTTGCTTTTTTTTTTCTTTTTAAAGATTTTTTTTTTATTCATTTGACAGAGAGCGCGCGCGCACGAGCAGAAGTGGCAGGGAGAGGGAGAAGCAGGCTCCCCGCTGAGCAGGGAGCCCGATGCGGGGCTCCATCCCAGGACCCTGGGATCATGACCTGAGCCAAACGCAGACAATTAATCAGCTGAGCCACCCGGGGCCCCTCCAGTCTTGCTTTCTACGCAGATACATCCATCGCCCTCCCACACCTACTGTTGCTTTTAACAAAGCCGGGATCATACTCTGTTGTCCGGTTTGGAATCCTGCTTTTGTACCCAACACGGCAGCCTGGACATTTGCCTTATCGTTACACACACTCTAAAGACACGACTTCAACAGCAGGATGAGCCACAGGTGTAACAGGTGTGGCATCACGGAGCTTAGTCACTCCCAAGAGTGAGATGTTTTGCTTCACTGGGTATTCTCCAAACAGGGGTGCTGCACCCGTCACCCCCGTGATGGGAAAGGATGGGTGCAGTGGGAAGAGGGCACAGGCACAGCTTCTGCCCGGCAGGGCTAATGTCCAGGGGGAGCCACGGAAATCTGCCAGGAAGAGCCATGGTCTGGGGGCCCACCTGAAAGTTAGTAGAGATGAAGCTGGAGAACGGGAACTGGTTGATGTCGGGCGGGAGGCTCAGGCTGGCCCGGGCAGGAACTTCAGGGGGTATGGACTCGGTGATGCTCCCATCCAAGGCATGGTGATGGCCTGGGGGTAGCACCGAGAGGCAGCCCAGAAAGGCCGAGGTAAGGAGGCTGGCTACGGACCGCCCCCGCCCCTCATCATCCGCCCCCAGTCCCGGGGCGGAGGGCACTCAGGGGAGCCCAGAGCATCACCAGGAGGGACCACAGCAGAGAGACTGGAGGGAGGGAGGGAGGGGTCGTGTAAGAGGGACACGAACCAAAACTCACCTTCTGCGGTCTTCAGCAAGACGGCCACCTCAGCCGGGATCTCCAAGCGCCCCAGCTCCTGGCAGAGAGGAATGATCGACCAAGGACTAAAGGAGGGGAAGAGGGACCCAGTGTCCCTCCTCACCCCTGGGACCATAAACTTCTCCAAAGACCAAGGATTCTGATCCTGGACACAAATAGGACCCCAAGAGCCCTCAGAGGGAGACCAAGGGTGGCCCAGGCCTCTTCCTGGGGGACTCAAGGGATGCACACCGGCGACCCCACACTCTTCCACAAGCCGCGCCAGTCCCAGGAGGCTCATCACCCAGCGGACGCCCTCGAGCTTCCAGGCCACCTACCATGCCTGGTGCTGTCCTGGAGGCCCGGCCGCTGTGTTGGCCACGCCGATGCCCAAGCTGCTGGAAGAGATGCAGGGGGAGCTGGTGCCCCGGTGAGGGGGTCTCTGGGAGCCTCCTGGCAACTCCTCCCTGCCTCAGTGGTCCGGCGGCCCCCTCTGGCCCCGAGTTGAGAAACTAGCCCGGACCTAGAGGGGCCGGCTGCCTGTCGCTAGCCCTTCGGAGCCCTCACCAGCCACTGCCCATCTGCCAGGGCACTGGGGAGGAGGCAGGAAGAAACGGTCCCAGGGGACAAAGTCCAGCCAGGGAGGGGCCGAAGAGGGGAGCCCTGTGTGGGCACTGACCTTTGAGCTGCTTTATGGCCCTCATAATGGAGTCATCAGGCCAAACCGGGAAGCAGCCCAGCCCTGAGAAGGTCTGGAGGGGATGAAGGGAAGACACCCCAGACAGGCAGGGGACAGTCAGACTCTGGAGGGGGGGGGCAGGGATGACGGAAGTGACCCCCCAAGGCCCCGGCCTCCCCCGGCCTGGCAGCAGGGAAGTGGGAAGAGCTGGGGCGGCTGGGGTCTCTGAGCCCCAGTCCTCATACACTCGGGCCAGGACTCCTGGACGCCAGCAAGGCTGCCTGACTCCCAGACACTCACCTGCGATCTCTGTCGCCTCCGGAGCAGGGGCCGGGCCACCAGCAGGACGGTGCTCAGCTGTCCCAGAGCCGCTTCCTGGAGGCCGGGAAGGGGGTTGGGGAGGAGCTCAAGCCCAGACCCGATACCCGAACCCTCCAAGCTGAGACACAAATGCACGGACCCGGGCCGACGGGGTCCTGGGTGCTTAGTAGAAGCCACGGCGGAAGGACAGGACACCTTGAAAGAACTAGTACATTGAGAAGGTATTCAGCACCGGGGATGACGGTCTCAGGCTGCAGAGCTGACCGCAGGCCTCACTCCCCCGCCCCACTTCGGTCAGTGTGGTCGTGGGTAAGTCCCTTGGCCTCTCAGTTTCATCGTCCTCATCTGCAAAGTCAGGATCCGAGTAACCCCTGCCCCACCACAAGATGAAATCAATCAGCCCACATGTTGAGAAGAGTCTCACCTATTTTTACTTAAGAAGTGGAATTTCTAAAAAATGAAACAAGTGCTATCACTGGAAATCTAATAAAAGATCACGGAAGCGATCATGCCCTTGAGAATTGTCCAGAGAGAAGACGACGCTCCTCAGTAAAGGAGTCGTGGGCAGGATTAAAATTAAAAAATCAATGTTCAGCTTTGAGGCGGTCGGCTGGCTCAGTCGGTAGAGCATCTCGGGGTCATGAGTTCAAGCCTCAAGTTGGTGTTAGAGTTCACTTAAAAAAATAATAATAAATGTACATATTTTGTTAAAGGACACCACCAAGAGCGTCACAAGACAACCCACAGAATGGGAGAATGCTTGCAAATCACGTATTTGATAAGAGTTTTGGGGCGCCTGGGTGGCTCAGTGGGTTAAAGCCTCTGCCTTCGGCTCAGGTCATGATTCCAGGGTCCTGGGATCGAGTTCCGCATCGGGCTCTCTGCTCAGCGGGGAGCCTGCATCCCACCCTCCTGCTCCCGCTGCCTGCTTCTCTGCCTACTTGTGATCTCTGTCAAATAAATAAATAAAATCTTAAAAAAAAAAAAGTTTGATATCTAGGATGTAGAAGGAACTCCCACAGCCCAACAACAAGACAAGCTATACGAAGAAAAGGCAGATCGAGGACTCGACTGGACATTTCTCCGCGATGATCCACAACGAGCCAAGAAACGTGAGAAGACGCTCAACCTCGTTAACCATCAGAGAGATGCAAATCAAAGCTGCGATGCGGTACTGCTTCGTGCCCACGAGGATGGCCAGCGTCAAAAAGTGGAAAATAAAGGCGCCGGGGTGGCTCAGTGGGTTCAGCATCTTTCTTCGGCTCAGGTTCTGATCTCAGGGTCCTGGGATCGAGCCCTGCATGGGGCCCCCTGCTCAGCGGGGGCTCTGCTTCCCCCCCTCCTTCCCCCTCTGCTGATGCTCTCTTTCTCTCTGTCATAAATGAATCTTTTTTTTTTTTAAGTGGAAAATAAGTACCAGCGAAGTTGTAGAGAAATCGGAACCCTGAAACACGCTCCTGGGAGCGTAACCCCTTAAAACACCAAACACAGAATCACCATATGACCCCGCAACTCCACTCCTAGGTAAAGACCCCGAAGAGCCGGAAGCAGAGACTTGAGCAGACACCAGCACGCTTGTGTTCCCAGCAGCCTCATTCATGAGCACCAGAAAGTAGAAGCGGTCCTAGTGACCGCGGACGGGTGTGGTCTGTGCACCCAGGGGCGAGGAGGAGCGAAGCCTGGCCACCTGCTACCACGCAGACAAACCTCGTGAACGTTCCACTTGGCGCAGTGAGCCAGACGAGAAAGGAAATACTGCATGAGTCAACTCACTTGGGCCATCCGGAATAGGCCAGTCAGTAGGCACAGAAAGTGGATGGGAGGTTCCTGGGGGCTGGAGGAAAGGCGAGCTGGGAAGGACTGTGTGAGGGATCGAGGGTCAGCTGGTGATGACATTTTGGAAATAGAGAGTGGCAGGGGGGGCGCGGTCTTGGAAGTCTCCCCTGGGGTCCAGGGCACTGCCCTCACTTTGTTCTCAGTGCTTTACCGCTACCTTGGGGGTGACTGGTGGCAGGTTCATTGTCACACCCGATTCCCCCCCAGTGTGCCTGGGAGGCACCATCTCTCCCTCCATCCCTGAGGGTCACCAGCTGGGCCCAGGGTAATGGAGGTCAACCAGCAGCTGTTGTTCAATGAGCACAGACTTTCCCATTAAGCTGTAAAGGTGAATGGGTGTTAATTATGAGAGAACGGGGAGGCCAGTCCTTAGGACCAAGAAGTCCAAAGAGCCTGGAGTATAAAATTCTGGCCTAGAGGCTGGAGAGATAAGCGGGGTCTCACACAGACTGATTCACGCTTTTAAAAGATCATTCTTGGGGCAGAGTGGAGAACAGACTAGAAAACACTCAAGGAGTCAAGACTGCAGGTTCTGGTGGCCCAATCAGGGAGTGAGCTTCTTGTCACTCGGGGTATTCAAGCAGAGACTGCACGGAGATGCTGACAGGAGGGCCCCAGGGCAGGTAGATTTTCTTGAGGCCCCACCCCTCCCACACTCTGCCCCACCACCTGCAGGAGACCCCCAGTCTCACCCACCCCTGCAGACCTGGCCTGGAGCCCTCGCATGCGAACCTGCATCCGCAGCAGGAGGAGGCGGCTGAGGCGCTGACAGGCGATGTAGGTGCGCAGGCAGCTGTGCAGGGCGAGCAGGGCCTGGGAGCGTGGCCGGGCCCAGTGCTGCTCCAGCTGCTGCCAGCCTGGCTCCCCCAGCAGAACCTGGGGGCAGAGGTGAGGGTGCCCGGGCTGGGGGTCCTGAGGCCTGCCCTGCTTTTGTCCTGAAGCCTTGGCCTGCTTCCTTCCAGCAGCACAACTGATTATTATGGGGAACTCGGGACACCTGCCACCCAGGCCCACTCCAACGCCTTACCACCCAGAAGGACCACCCATTCCTGAGTTTGTTCTGGAATGTTCCTCTCCCTTTCCAGCCATGGACATGCACGCGCGCGCACACACACACACACACACACACACACACACACCTGGGTGGCTCCGAGGTGACAGAGGGGTGACTCGGCCCCTAGCACCTGACTCAGGATGGCGCCACACCTCTCACGATCAGAGGACTCTCCCTGTGCCTCCGTCTCCAGAGCCCGGAACCTGGCCCGAGGAGGGGGAAACTGAGGTCAGAACAAGCACAGTGAGGACCTCCCCCAACGCTTGTCTGACCCCCCAGCCCCTAAGTCATTCAACGATTTGCAACACACCTACTATGTGCCAGACCCCAGCTGAGCTTTGCTGAATGAATGGCAGAGGGGCAGGTGGAGGCATGGGCAGGGAGGGGGTCACCAATAGGGAAGGTCAGAGGGACAGAGGGAGAGGAGAGAGCAGTGAGAGGAGGTGAGTGGAGGCCAGGCTCAGGGCCCCAAGGAAAGAGGGTCCACTTCCATCCTGAAGGAACTGCCAGCCACTCCAGGGGGCCGTCCTTATGGGTTCTGTGTCCGGGCCCTTGGCTGCCTCCATCCTGGGACCCTACCTGGCCAGGAAGGCCTGGAAGGGCAGGCGCATGGGGAAGTTGGCACTGCGGGTACGTACTGCCTCCAGGATGCCCGCCTGGTGCAGCTGCTCTGCCACGTGTCCCACATCAAAGAGGCCCGGAAGCTGTGGCCATGGAAGAGAGCCAGTGAGAGCTGGTGGGGGGGTGGGGCTTGAAGCTGTGGGAGGCCAAGGGGAGCTGCTGAACAGGGCAGGGCAGGTGGATGGGAAGGCTCTGGGGCCAGGTGCAGGGCAGGGGAGGGGGAGGGAAGCTCACCTTTCCCGGGTTGGGGTTGAGGCACTGAATGAAATAGACATGGCTCCTGATGGAGGAAGGGGGGGTGGGGGTCATGTGGGTAACGGAGCAGCCCCCGAGTCCCTGGGGTCTCGTATGGGTGGCACTGTCTCACCTGCCCAGCCGGGCTAGGAGGTCCTCCAGGGAATGCTGGAAGCGAGAGGCCAGTGTGGGCTTGCCCGGCTGGGCCGTGGACTGGGACTCTGCTTCCCGGAACAGGCTGCCCACCGGCTGTGGGGCGAGAGGAGGCCGAGCTGGCTTGCTTCCCAAGCCTGTCCACAGCCCGGCCTGCATCCCCAACCCGGGGGAGCTAGGGTGGGTCAGTCCACAGCATCCAGACCCCAGAAGGCTCAGCCCGTGGTCCAAGCTGCAGGGGCTACCCCTTGGGGCAAGAGCGTCCAGGGCAGAAGGTGGGGGACACAGTGTGGAGGGGTGGGGGCTCCGAGAGAGGGCTGGCAGGGGTACCTGGAGCTGGCTCTGGGCAAGCATTGCCACCGCAGCAGGGTCAAGATGATCCCGGTTTCTGTTTACAAACTTGTGAACCTGCAAGAGACAATGTGGGGAGTGGAGGGGAAGCCAAAGAGAGAAGGCTGGGCTGGGGGCAGGCCCTTTGTCACATAATCCAGCCTCTCCCCACTGGGCTAAATAAAGGGCCACCTTTGTCTGTCAGCTAATGGCTCTGGGGAAAACTGGAAATCCCCATGCAAATGAATGAAGTTGGACTCTTATCTTATATCAGATATAAAAATTAACCCAAAATGAATGGATCAAAGACCTAAATTTAAGGCCTAGAACTCTAAAACTCTTAGAAGAAAACGTAGGAAGAAAGCTTGTGACATTGGACTTGGCAACAATTTCCTGAATAGGATACCAAAAGCGTAGGCAACCGAAGAAAAAAACAGACTGGATTTCATCAAAATTGTAACTTTTGTGGGGTGCCTGGCTGGCTTAGGCAAACACGTGTGACTCTAGATCTCAGGGTCATGAGTTCCAGCCCCATGTTGGGTGTAGAGATTACTTTAAAAAAAGTTTTGGGGAGGCTCCTGGGTGACTCAGTGGGTTAAGCGTCCGCCTTCGACTCAGGTCATGATCTCAGGGTCCTGGGATCGAGCCCCGCAATGGGTTCCTTGCTCAGTGGGGAGCCTGCTTCTCTCCTACTGTCCCTCCCCCAGCTCATGCTCTCTCTCACTGTCTCTCTCTCAAATAAATAAAAGTCTTAAAAAAGATTTCCTTTTGTGAGCTTCCATATAGTTTTGTGGTTTTCTTTATTCAGACTCCTTGTGTGTGTGGCTTTTTTAAAATGTGATTAGTTTTCTGAGGGGGGAGCAGAGGTATGACTGATCTGTGTACCGAAACGGGTCACCTCCTCCAAGAAGCCTTACTGGACTTGCTCTACCTCAAACTAGCCATATGGTCCTACCCTCTACCCTTTACCCCACGCCTCAGCAGTTAACCTCCCGGGTGTGCTGTCACCCGTGAAACTCTGAAGGGGGAAAGGCAAGTCCCTTCAGTGAGCACCTACCATGTGCCAGGCACCTGCCTGACCACTTCCCCATTACCGCATTTAATCCTCACCACAGTGTTATAGGACAGATTCCCATTCCCATTTTACAGATGGGAAAACGAAGGCTCAGGAAGAGAAGCAGACACCCGGAGGTTACAGAGTCAAGTCCCACGAGTATGCCCCACCCCTGCTGGTCTTGAGGCTCGTGCTCAACCAGAACGCAATAAATCACACCGGGGACTGTGCAGGGCCAAGGGCGTAGGCAGAAACATATGGTCAAGCCCTGGGAGGGGCCTCTCTTTACTTACTCCTCTTGGCTGTCAGGAGAGTCAGCTCTGGGGAGGGGTCCCCCTGGCCACATCGCCCTCACCGATTCGCCTGAGTCTCTCCCTGATTCACCCTGATGCCTGGTAGGTGACAGTCCCAGCGTAATGCCTCACGGTGAAGATAGGAAGGGGCAGCTGGGGCTTGGAGTAGCAGGGGTGACTGCCGTGGTGGTAATGACACTTCTGAAGGAAGGTGTGGTCTGTGGCCTGATAAGAGGGACGGGCTTCCCTCAGGCCTTTGCGCGCGAGGTGCCCCAGCCCGGACCGTGCATCCCTCCAGGATGATCAATAAGTATTTGTGGAATGGGGGCGCCACGGCCCTGAGGCTTGCTCCCTACTAGCTGGAGGCCCAAGGGACCCCACCAGCCCTACATGAGCCCTGTGCTGTCCCCACCACCCTGCCCCTTCTGCAGCAAGGACCCAAGGAACCCGAGAGAGGTTAGGATCACCCAGAGACAGGATTTGAACCCAAGCTGTGCAGAGAGACTACGGGCAGGGTTTCTGGCCTCCACCACCTGTGGCTCCTCTCAGAGGCCCAGACTGGCCACCAGGGCCCCCACTGCTTGGGGCTTACCTGGGGCAGCCACGTGTGGGCATCCAGGAGCCTCAGGAGGCTGTGGGGCTGGTCTACGAGGAGGTCCAGACAGGTGTCCCGCACAGGCTGGGGAACGGGCACCCAGGCCAGCAGCTCTCGCCGACAGGCCTCCTGGGAACAGCCAGCGCGGGGCCAGATACAGAGCACGCCCACACCCGTGGGGGAGCTCCCTGGAGCCGGAGCAGGGATGGCCTCCCATTGTCCAGATGAGTAAAATGAGGCCCAGGAGGGCTGAGACGGTGGGCCAGGGGGCTTTGGGGCAGAGCTCTCAGCTCAGCACCCTCCGTTTCCCAAGGATGGCCCCTGGTCTGGAAGGCCTGGGCGCCCCTGGCCCCCACCCGGGCCAGCGCCCCGTACCTCCTCCTGCGCCCACAGCAGCTGGAGAAGAGCCGCAGGCGCTCGCTGGCAAGGTTATTGCACAGCTGCTCCAGCCTGTTCTCCCGCAGGGCCTGGGGGCACAGAGGCAGGGACATGGGCATCTGCACAGTTGCGGGGGCACGGGGCGGTGGGGGGAAGCCTGCACACTCCCCTCCTGGAACTCAGGGAGGAGTGGTGCCCTGGGGCTGACAGGGTCAAGTCCGAAGGCCCCCCTCAGCCCGCATCCCTCCCTCTGCCTCAGCACGACTGTGAGCCATCCTGTGGTCTGGAAGGCGTCTGTTCCTATGACCTAGTAGTTTGCTGGCTATTGGAATCCCACATCCTCATAAGCAGGGCTCTAGGCCGCTGCCTCCGAGAAGCCTTCCAGCATTCTTCCTGTAGGGATTACAGGTTCCTTTCTCTGTGGCCCCCAGCATGTTACTTGCAAGCCCCGTAGAGCCCGCACTCCATACGGCTTTGTACAGAGAGCTTTGGCTCGCTCTTGAACTCACACTGGCCACAGTCATCTGCAGTCCCCCACCCCCGAGAGGGCATAGTCACCAAGGGCATGCTGGAAAGGAGAGAGCAGGGGACACTGAACAGTGCCCACCCGGGAACGAGGGTGGAGGCCACCTTCTCTTGCTCTAGCCCCCTTCTCCCTGCCCTGAGAAGGTGGGATCTTCTAGAAAGGGGTGAAGAGTTTATGAAAACTCAGGCCATTCAGGGGACTGTCCCTTTTCCTGCTCCTCTTGGGGCTTGGGAGGGGAGGCTGTGGGCTGATCCATCCTAGGACCTCTGTCTTCTGGCACTTTAGAGGCTCCTGTGAGACTCTGCAAAGCCACGCAGGACAGAACTCCCCAGAGGCGATGTCGGGGCTGGACAGAGCGGAGCAGAAACGCTACAGCGGCAGCCCCTGTGCCGACTCAGGGCTAGGCGGGCAAGGGCTCACGAGCGCCCCTCTCAGGAAGCGCTGACCCCACAAATGATCAGGATGAGGTGGGCACCCTGTCCCGGGCCCTGTCCCAAGGGCGAACCTCAAAGCCGTGGACGTCCACGACAGTGATGGTGTCCACATGCTCTCCCTCCCCAGGAGCCGCCAGCTGCGAGTTGCTCCTCTCCAGAAGCCAGGTGAAAAGCCGGGAATACAGGGCCTTGGCCAGGCCGTCCCTGTGGGCAGGCTGGGTGAGCCTGTGTGCCAGAGTGGAGGCCTGGCCACGGCTCCCTCCCGCCCCTGGGGTCACCTGGCATCAACGGCGCTCTCCACCGGCAGAGACCTGCAGACCCGGCCGTACGGGGTCTCCTGCAGGGCAGAGGAGGCAGGAACACATGGAACAACAGGCCCGAGGCCCATGTGGGCTCATGTCAAACCTGAGGGGGTGGGGGAGGCTGGGGGTAGGGGAGGTGGAGGGGGTGGGGGAGTGAGACCCACCTCCTGAGGAGCCCAGCGCTCACCGTGACCCTCCTGGTGACAGCCCCCTCCAGGCGCTCGGGTGGCACCAGCAGCAGCTGGGCTGCCGCGTGGATCTCGGCCCAGCTGGACACGGCAGCCACCTCCTGGGACTCCCGCTGGACAGAGAAGGGAGGGGGCGGGGAGAGGGAGAGAGTCCCTGACTGAGCCACCCACATGCCCCTCCACTGTCTCGTTAAAGGGGAAACGCCCGGAACAGAACCTGGAAACATACGGAAAGCGATTCCCACGGTGCTGGGTACACACGAGCTGCTCCGTTAGCGCAGGTCTGCCTCTTGGGGGTGGCAGAGACGATCCCGGCCTGTTTTCTCACCTACAGCATCTGCCCGCTCTCCAGCGGCCCTGGGGCAGCCCTGGGCTTTGTGATCTACCTACGGGTGTTTGCTATCCTTGCTGCCCTGATTATACAATCCAGTTCCTAACTGGATCCTAATCCAGTTAGGATCCAGCGTCCACACGGGCCACAGCTGGAGCCCACCTCTGAAGATGAGAAGCAAATATTGCCCAGGTGCAGGACGGCGGCCAGCACGGCCCAGGCGTCCGTCACCTCCTCGGGGCACAGGACCTGCAGGGCCTTCTGCAGTCCTTCGAAGTCCCGAGCATCATCCTTGCCCTGGAGACAGCAGGCCTGGCCCTGCAGAGCACAGCAGGGGTGAGGGGACAGGGCCCGGCTGCCCAGGGCTCCCCTCTATGCTGGCCGCTCCTTAGCACGCCCCTCCCCCCCCACGCCAAGACCTTTCCCTGGGCAAGCCCGGTCACCCAGCACCCAGTGGGCCTGCCCCCACCTGGTTGAGGTAGGAGTAGGTCTCTGGCCCCTGCAGGGAGAGCTGCTCCCGTTCTACAGGGCCCAGCCCCGCCAGCAGCTCGTAAAAAACATGGAAGCTTCGCTCAGCCTGGGCCTTGGGAGAGAAGGACCGGCTTAGGGGGAGCAGTGGTCCGGTCCTGTGCCTCAGGGAAAGCAAGGACAAATCCTGGGAAAGGCAGGGTTGGGGGTGCTGAGTGACCACAACCCCTTACAGCGGCCCCTCCCTCTTTCCCATGCTGGGAGCCACGGAGAGGGGAGCCGTAGGGTGGGTCTTACCTGAAACACCACCCTTGAGGTCTCGAGCAGATAACGGGACACAGAGGCTCCCACGATGACCCCACTGTGGGCACAGGACAGTGAGGGGGGGGGTAGTGTCCAGGATGCATGCAACCTAGGGGACCTGCTCAGAATGGGACACACTAGGGGCTCAACCCAAGGGCAGCACCTCAGTTCCCAGTAAAGGGAACCGATCATGAGTGCCGCCCCCGGGCCCGTGCCTTCCAGGACCCCTGCCACTCACTGCCGCACGCAGAGGCAGAAGACCTGGCCAAAGCGGCTGGCGTTGGCATTGAGGACTGTCTTGGCGTGGCTAAAGCTGCTGAGCACGGGCCGGACACCATCCAGCTGTGTGGGGGAGACGCATTTGAGGACCCCGGGGACGGCGGTGGCACCCACTGATCGGCCATCCGAGCCGAGGACACTTTGTGCCTGGGGGTTGTGCTCCTCCATGGAGAGGAGAGTCCCACCCCACCTCGCCCTGCCCCATGGTAGGCGATGCCTGGGGCTGCCCCTAAGAAGAAGCCAGAGGCCCAGAGACCACCCTCCTGGCCCAAAGGAGAAGGACGGTCCCTCTTGGATCCCTGGAAAAAGGCCAGCTGCTCCTCACGTGACATCTTCGGTCCCTTGTCTGCTCCTGCTCCAGGCTGCTTAGGAACTGCACAATCTTTCTGGCAGCTTCTGTCTTCCCTGAGCCACTGTGCCCACTGCAGGCAGGAGGGGCTGACAGGGTCTCCAGGAAGGGGCACAGAGGACACCCCATGGAGCCCAGGAAGTGGGGTATGCCCACCCGGAAGTGATACACGCCCACCCCCGCACCCCGGAAATGTGGAGAGACAGACCCAGGGCATGGATACCAAGGAGAAAGAAGTCTCCAAGATGCCACATTCAAGGGACACGTGGATGACTTTAGCCAGGACCACAGCCCTTATGAAGCCCAGCACAGCTGCCCAGCAGTGGACCAGACCTGCAGCTTCAAATGTGGACCCCGTGTCCCCTGCCTCCCAGCCCTCAGAGCGGCCTGTGTGTTCTGCGGGGCACCATCACTCACCCGAGGAGAATGCATGTTCCCTGCCCAGAGCTCTGAGACAGGCGATCGTAGGCTGATGCGGCGATGGCGAAGATGTGTCTGAGGGAGGAGGGAAGGAAGCGAATGAGAAGGTTGTCAGAGACGGGCATCTGGCCTCCTAGGTGTAGAAGGTCCCTAAGTCTCCAGAATCTCAGCAGTGGGACATGTTGGGGCTCAGCCGCCTGGGGTGGACGGGGTGGTGAGCACAGGGTTGGTGGGGCAAAGTCACGTACGGGGTGGTGTTAAGGGCCCTCTTGGGGTGGGAGCTTGCCAGGACCTCAGCTGAGAAGAGAGGCAGGGGCCGGTGGGGGTTCAGAGAGAGCAGAAGAGGCCCTCCAAAGGTCTGGGGGAAGAAGCAGATGCTCTCGTCAGAACACGAAGGAAGCAGGGGTACAGATGGAGTGGGGCTCCGGTGCTCCCCAGCCTGGCCCCCGGCCCCCACCCACTCTGCAGGTCCCCAGCGAGGGTTCAAGCACCCAGCCCACAGAGGAGAAGGAAGAAGTTCTAGAAGTGCCAGAGGGCCCTCTGATCCCAGAGGACAGGGACTCCAGCCCCCCAACCCTCCCCAGGTACCCCCATACGTAGATTCGGCCCAGATGAAATCTCTTCTTAAGGCACAGCAGTACAGAGCTGTCACACACTGGTCTGTGGCGACGGCAGGACAGCGGAGCAGGGAATTGGGGACAGAAGGAGGTCCTGGGTTAGCGCGGCCACTGGCTGCAGAGATCCTTTGGGCATAACACAGGGCCCGGCTGCCAAGTGAGTTACTATGGGTAACTGACCAGAGGGAAGCTTTGTGCCAGTCAGAGAAGCAAGTCCCAGGCAGGGGCACCTGCTTTTCACCCCTCCCCCGTCTCTTCCAGCCAGACCTTTGGTAAAAAGCACAGTCCCTTCTAAGGGTACAATTTATAAGGGATATGAGGAAGTGTGGGACCCAGACACGACAGATTTGGAACTGGCCGCGCTCACGGCAGCCGAGCCAGGTCCTCCGTGTCTTCCAGGCCTATCCCAAGGTTCCTGCTGTCAGCGGCCAGGAAGGGTGGTGCCTCCAGGCCCGGCCCCAGGCTCAGCTCCAGGTCCCTCTCCAGCGCCTCCTCGGTCTCATTCTCTGGCTCCCACCGCTCCCGCCGGGACCTGCGGGGCTCGGGCTTCTCTCCCATGGCAGGCGGGACTCCAAGGTGAGTCGGGGCAGCAGCGCGTCGGTGCCAAGCCCAGGATCCTCGCGGGGTTTGGAGATCTGAGCCCAGTGGACGGGAGCCTGAGCCCCCAAGGTCTCGGGCTCCACTTCGCTGCTGGAGGCGCTCTCGCCGAGTGGGGGCTCCTGGTGGGGAGCACGGCCCAGGAGAGAGCCTCGGTGGGGCCCAGCTACACTTTCTCCACTCGCCCCGCGCCCCTCACTGTCCCCCGAAGCTTCTGCACAAGGCCGAACGTGCCCCTCCCCGGGCGGGGCGTCCGTGGACCCTTCGTCTGAGCTCCGAGTGCTCGACGCCCTCCCAGTCCTGTGGATCCTGGGGAACACGACCGCGAACTTGGGATCCCGAGTCCAGTCCTCATCCTCAGAAGGGTCTTCAGGAGCTGAGCTCTTCCACTGTGGGGAACTCGAGTCGCCGCTAGAGGGAGCCCTGGACCGTCCCCCCCAGTCCCGCTACGCGGGCCAGGCGCAGCACTAGACGCCGCCGCAGTCCCGGCCCGCGGCCCCGCCCCCCGCCCCTCGCACGCGGGCGGCCCTGTCCCCCGGCCCTCGCCAGCCGGCCGTCGCAGCCGCAGCCGCAGACAGCGCAGGAGACCCAGGGCGCGCACTACGCGCCGGAGCCTCTCGGGCCGGAGCCGCGGCCTGGAGAGCTGGGACTGGCGGGGTTTTCGCGCGGAGCCTGCGGAGCGCCACAAGCGCGGCCAGCGGCGCTGGGTGTCCGGGCCTGTCTCCCCCGCCCGCCCCGGATTCGCTCTCGCCCGCCGCCACTTGCACCTTCCCCACCGCTTTTCCGACCTGGCGGCGCCGAGCCCTAGCGCCCGAGGCCTCGGCTCTTCCAGGCTCGGCGCTTTGCGGCTCAGCCTCCGGCCGCAACTCACTGTCCCTTGCGTCCCGGGCCGGCCTGGGGTCCCGAGAAGCCCGCGAGCTCCGGGGGACGCACGTGCGACTGTCCTCGTGGGGGCTGGAGGCCTTGGCTTTTTTGCCCGGCTCAGTCTCTTCGGCCTCAGGGGCTCGGCTCGCTGCTCCCGGGGCTGCCCGTGGGCCCCCTCCAGGCCCGGCCCCTTGCAGGCTCGACTCCGTGCCTGTCCCGGAATCCGCGCGCTCTCCCGGCGTCCCACCCCTGACGACTCTTCCCGGCTCCGGGGCTCGGCGCTGTCCCCGCCGTCGCTGCTCCGACCGTCGCTGCTGGGGCGCTCGCCGGGTTCCAGCGCTGGCTCTGACCCAGTCTGGGGGTCTCCAGAGCCCGTGTCCGTTTCCTCCGGCTTCGGCCACGGCCCCAGGGCCCCACCGCTCTGGCTGTCGCTTTCCTGGGCCTCGCGGGCTTCGCTGTCCAGGCAAGAGCTGCTCCCATCTCCACCCAAGGAGGGGTCCACATCGAGGCTCCGGGTCTCTCGGTGGCCGTGCGGAGCCAGGGCTCTCCGCCTCTTTCCTCTCTTCCTGCGGCGGCAGAGCTCCCGTGTCCTCCCTTCTCTGGGGATATTGTTTTCTTCCAGGCGCCCGCCAGGGCTGTCCCGGTGCTGAGACCAGGGTCCCTGACGTTGCGCGCTGCCTGGTCTCCCCTGGGGCTCCGGTGGCGGCCCAGCCCCTGGCCCTTTGCAGCTGCCCGTCCCCTCTGTGGCAGACTTCCGGCGGCCACCAGGGGTCCCTTGGCTTACCGAAGTGGCGGGCTCCAAGACCGGTCTGGCCCTGTGAGCCTTAAGGCGACCCTGCCGGCCTTCCCGGCAGGGCGCGCCGTGTGTGCTGGCTGACCCGGACTCTTCTTCCCCGGAGACCCGCTTCCCGGGCCCGCCCTGGCGCTGGGGCTCTTTGCCCTTGCTTCCGCCCATGGCGGGTTCAGTGAAGAGGGGCTTCCAGGCGTCTTTGTCCCCTCCCGGGAGATCTGGCAGGCCCTGGAACGCTGAGCCCTTGGCAGCGCCCACACCGGTTCCACTCTGGCATGGCCTACAGTCGCAGTCTAGCCCCCCCCACCCCCGGGGGCTCCAGCCTTCCCCATGAGCATTAATAATGCAGGTGGCTGCGGCTCCTGACCCCGCTAAGCCAACAAAGGAAGGCAGGCGGCCCAGGAAAGAGGAGACGCTTTAGCATCGGACAAAGGCCAGGGACAGGGCAACCAACCATTCAGCCTGGGAGTCGCTGCCACCCAGGCCAGCCTGGCACCCTGCCAAACTGAGGACCCGCATGCTTTGCTCC